CTCTACCCAAGAAGTGCTACAAATATTAATCAAGATCAAAAATTATCAAGATACGAGACTTAGAGCAAAAGAAACAAACTCTTGTGCCAGGTCTTGAACTTTGCGAGCTCGTCATTCAACCATCTAAGCCGAGCAGCGAACATCGCAAGCTTCACACATTCAAAGCCGAGATCCGAATCTCGCAAAAGGCATGCAGCGCTTAAAAGGAAAGCTTCTCTTTAAAAGTCAGCTCGGCTCATCAAAGATTCCGACGTGATTAAAATTCACGTGATCTATCACTTAGCAAAGTCTTTGAAAAACGTCATACGACGAACCCGACATACGAACTCATGCTCCTTCTCTAAAGCATGGTTTACGGCATACGAGTCACGACGGCAATGACTTACCTCCATCATCCAACATTCACAGCGTCCCCATATATGCTTCGTTTACACACAAAGGAAGTGTGACGAGCTTATCAGACATCACTGTCTCATGACATCATTAGATAATACCTAAAGTTTCAAGCTGAAGTAGCATCTAAAGGCGGTCATCAATTCTTTACGAGCTCGTCCCCATCAGCTCGTTTTCTCTACCACAACAAATAAAACTCCAAAAATGAGTTATGCCGAGCTAATAAAAAAAGAAGGAGGGGGATAGTACTACCAAGCTAGCTCACGCTCAATCTCTTAACTCACTATATTCAGAAATTTTGATGTGGTTTAAATTCATGTGCTCTACTACTAAGGAATTTAGCAAAATTTAAATCAAAGAAGAGGGAGAGACAACCTAGAAGAGGCTACTTTGGTTGTTCACCAACAACAGAAGAAACATTCCATAGGAGCAAATAAGGTCCCGACGTAACCACCATCAGCCCAGGAGTCCAAAAAGAGCAGGTCGGGATTCTAAATATGGCAGAAAAACTGTTTGGAGACTTTGCTTCCCGGGCAAGAAATCACTGAAACCTGCAACCTGAAACCAAAACAAAAACAGTGCGGGTTAAGGTTTTTCGAGGTTAATTATAGGACGACCAAAACGATTCATATCGTGTACAAGGTGTCTTTGGAAAGATCTTTTTTTATAGAATCTACAGGACTTTACGGCGCTTCGATCGGAGTTAAACCTCAACCACAAGTCGCGTCAACATTTGGGTAAAAATCATCCTAATCTGAAATTTTCAGAAAACTAAATTCAACCCACCATCTTCAAAAGAACGTGGGAGGCTCGTACGTGTTCCGATCAGATCGAAACTTGGTATACAGCACGGTGACATGTCTAACTCCATAATCAACGGCAATTGAGCTAGTCGATCTAAGCACATCACTCACGGATTGTCATACCGAGCCAGTTGACCTTAGCACATCGCTCTAACAGCTTGTTATACCGAGCCTGTCGCCCCGTCCGTCATTCTCACAATACCTCTTCTAACCAAAAAAAAATCTAGTCGTCACGACTATTTCTTCTTCGCTGAGCTACCTTAGTGGTTTCCACCATCTCGGATATTCAGATCTCCATCTCATCCTACCGAGCTAAATCAAACTCAAACAGGGCCACCACGAATCTCTCTTTGGAGGAGAAAATCAACCTCTCTATTTTCACCAAAGTCTCCAAACTCTTCAACGTCGTGTCCTAATAACAATCAAGGAACCACGTCAAGACGGTTCAAAATCAAAGCCTTTCTACCAAATGTGTACCGTGTCTCACACATCACAACAAGATATAGGTGCATAAAGGAAAGCCTTTCTTCTAAAGGAAGCTCCTTTTGAGTCGGAGTTACAACTGATCTCAATCTTGAGATTACAGCTAATCTTCTTTATCAAGCTACATTAGAGATCGTCTTCTTTACCAAGCTACATTGCAGCTCACCTTCTTTATCAAGACATATTAAAGAAAGCATAAGTAGCATGGAAGAAAGCACCCGAGCACCAACTAATTCTATTACGTTGCTCAACTCCTCCAAATTAATCACCGAAAAGCTGTCCAAGTTTAAAAACGTCACTCCCTAAGCTTGGTGATGCGTACGAATCTCATTACTCCGTTAACCTGTTGACTCTGTTCCGCAAGTTACACAACTGTCAGCTCGTCGGCTTGTCTGCTTCCTAAGCTTATCCCGAGCTCAACAGCTCTTCTTCATAAGTCTCCCGAGCTTTCTTCTTGAGCTCCTTAGCTCTTTGTAATTCACCGAGCTGTTTAGATCGTCATGCTTTAGCAAGTTCAACAGCTCGTGATAATTCACTAACCTCAGCTCGTCCCAAAATTTACGAGACAGTTCGTCCTCAAATCTGAAGAACAAGCTATGTTCTCGACGACCACTTTTCAAGCTACACAACAGGTCGGTTTTCGAGAAGGATTCCACAGTACTCACGCACGTCAGTATGTAGGCTGGTAGACGTCCCAAATTTAGCTGGCACCATCAATTCTCAATGTGCTCAGCAGTCATCGTAAGCATACACACGGGCTCCCAAAGCACCAAGAAAATAAGCCGAGCATCGTAAGCCTCCACCATGCGAGCATTGTAAGCCTTGCTCATTCAAAGCCGATCTCATATTCAAAGCCGAGCTTCGCATCTATCAAAAGAAAAAATGATTTCCCGAACTCAACAAAAGCCGACCTCACATTTGGTGGAAAATAAAGCCCACCTCACATCTTACTCAATAACCCGATAGCTCAACAGCTCGCCGTCATACATCTCCCGAGCTCTTCACTTTGTAAACTCCTCGAGCTCGTCAGCTCGTCAGCTCGTCATAATTCACCGAGCTATTTAGCTCGTCATGCTTTTGTAAACTCACCAGCTCGTCATATTTCAATGACCTCATCTCGTTACTTTAAGCTCGTCATCCTCATAGCTAAACAAACTCCCAAGCTCTATCGGAACTCCCACCAACGACGAGCTCGATTACTTAGCTCGTCTGAGCTAGTCAGTTCGCAAATGAAATCTCAAGTGCAACTCATCAGCTTGTTTTCTTTACGACAGCTAGTCGTACAATCAACTCATTATACGTTGCATGTTCTTTTACGAGAGCTCGTCTTACATGAGTTCTTCACGTCGAGAATTTCACTCCACATGATCGTCAATTCATGTTGTTTGCACTGTCATATCTTGATGAGCTCGTCATTGGAACATCTCGAGCTTATACACGAGCTTTTGAATCACCAAGAAAAATGAGCCGAGCAGAAGTAAAGCCTCCGTCATACGAGCATTGTAAGCCTTGCAATTTCAAAACCGAGCTCCTAACCTCGCATCTAGTACGAAAACTCTAGTTCCTGGGCTAAATAAAAGTTGATCTTACACGTTCACAATTTCAGCTGATCTGACTTGGTCGCAACTAAATCCGATGTGATTAGATCACAAATGATATCATAGACGTACGTAAGCACATCATCACTTCACTGTCCTAATCATATCGTTGCACACCTTAGTATGATGTGAGATCATCACACCGAGCTCGTCAACTTAATACGTTACCGAGCTAAATTTCTCCCGAACTACTTATTAGTCTCCTTGGTCCTTACCATGCTCCTGAGCTGATTACACATCGGCATCCTGGTCAGATGTTCGATTCGCCTAAAGCTAAAGCATGATCCACTTTAGCTTGGCAACTTAAAAGCCAAGTCTATCCTGCATAATACAGTTTAACCTGTTACTAAGCCGACCTGTTTTGCAAAGTCCGAGTCATACGATGGTCATAAGCTAAGCCAGTCTTACTCCCGTATTCGAGTCGGATATTTCTAAGTGGTACTAATAGAAAAATACCGACCTGATTCGCATATTAGTATTCATACTTAGAAATTAAGTGGTACAAACAAATGTAAGCCGAGCCTCTCGCATGTTTGTATTCACACTCTTTTAAAGCCAGAATCCGCTCTGCATTTTCTAAGTCATGCAAACCTATTAAGTCGACCTGATCGCACCTTGCATTCGACTTTAGAAAATTTCTAAGTCATGTAAACAAATAATGCCGACCTCATATCGCTGGTTTACATTCAGACTTAGAAATATTAAGTCATACGAACAATTTAAAGCCGATATCACATCGCACGTTTGTATTCGACTCTACAAAAGCCGAGCACACCTCGCAATCATATCATAGAATGAGCCGAGCATAGTCTCATACCCAAGTATATACCAAGCCGAGTTCTTTACCTAGTTATACTCCACTTCAGCTCGGTAAACTTCTCTATACGCGCCAATCTCGAAAACTAGACGCCATCAAATGGTCGACCTGAAAAAGCTTAGAGAAATGATGCCTCATTTTTTCTTAACTTTTAGAATAGTCCGATCTGAATTCATATCGAGCAACACCTTGAAATTCACCAAGTAACGTATCCTCACTTGCCGAACTGGGGACGGGGGGGGGGGGGGGGGGGGGGGGGGGGGTGTGGGGGGGGGGGGGGGGGGGGGGTGTTTACTGTTAGAGATGAGATTCGTACCATCTCTACAAGCCCGATATGAATTCTGGTCGGCCTATTTCACAGGGCTCAGATCGGCTAAATAAATGGAAATCTTCCATTTATCGGACAAACCCGGGAAAAACAGAAGTTTAGTCTTATCGGCAAGGAAACTTTCCTATTCCAAACCAACATAGAAGACCGACCTGATCGGCTATAAATATGGGATCTCCTCGACTTATCAGATTATCCGAAAATCACTCCTCGAGACCTAAGACAGATTAAGCAATCTAATTGTTCTTAGCTCTCGATTTACTTTCTTTAAAAGTCTAGGTCGGCGTTCTTATCTCTCAATCTCCGGCTCAATTCTAATAAAGATCTCTCTTTAAACCCACAAATTCTTGTTCAGTCTTTAGATCGAATTTGAGTTTTTACAATAAAGGCTACCCATATATGCACGGTTTTAGTGCTGTAAAACCGAGCTCCACTTCTGTTCCTGAGGACAAAGAAGAACCTAACCAATCCGTTAAGTGGCACGCTGGTTATAACGGAAGGATCACTTGTGCACCAAAAGAGCTAGGTGGTTGTGGTCCTCATAGTATCTTGGAGCTTAAATGAATCTTTCCGCCGACATGGATGTCAGACTTGAAACAAAAAGCAGAGGCTTTCAGGGCGTTATACAAAAAAAGTCCTAGAATGTCAAACTGTAGGTGTTCTGGTTTAAAACCTGATATGAAGAGAAAAGCAGCTTCGAGGAAATCAAGCGACAACTACCTGTTCTCTCCCGGATCTATTGAAATCTTGAAAGAAGAAGAGCTTCTGCATTTTCAAGAGCATTGGGCAAAAGGCGAACCAGTAATCGTTAGGGACACTCTAGAAAACATACATGGTTTAAGCTGGGAATCAGACGTTATGTTGCGAGCTATATGCGAAAAGAGGAGGAATTCATCAACAGAAAATTCTAGGAAATTAATGATCAGGGCAATTGATTGTTAGCTAATTGTTAGGTCGACATCAGTGCACGTGACTTCTTTGATGGTTACAGGAAAGGAAGAACATATAAAACCTCTGGCCTGAAATGTTGAAGTTAACAGACTGGCCTCCTTCTAATAAATTTGAAGATCTTTTGCCTCGTCACTGCGACGAGTTCATATCTGCGTTACCTTTCCACGAATATAGCAATCCAAGAACTGGAATTCTTAACATTGCAACAAAGCTTCCTGATGAACTTCTCAAAGTAGATATGGGTTCCAAAACTTACATTGCCTATGGGATTCCAGATGAGCTAGGAAGAGGCGATTCTGTAACTAAGCTTCACTGTGATATGTCAGACGCGGTTAATATACTGACTCATACAACTAAAGTAACTCTAAGTAAAGAACAAAAATATGTGGTTCAAAATCTGAAACGTAGACACAAGGACCAGGATGAGCTTGAAGGTAACGTTATAATTGGGTGTTGCAGCCAAGAAAAGGAAAATGAACCCGCCGTGGCAGAGATTCTGAGCTCTCTAAAAAAGATACACAAGGACCGGAATATGCTTGAAGATAACGGTATTATTGGGTGTTGTAGCCAAGAAGAGGAAGAAGAACCCAACATAGCAGAGATTCTGAGCTATGAAAGTGAACAAAATTATGAAAAAACAGGAAGTGCTAAATGGGACATATTTAGGAGAGAAGATGTTCCTAAGTTAGAAGAGTATCTGAGCAAGCATTGCAAATAATTTAGACACATTTTTTGTTGTCTGATTACGAAGGTAATATACCTGCAACAACCTTTTTGACTGATATCTTACTTTCTTGGACTGACAGTTTTTTTCTTCAAGGTTTATCATCCGATACATGACCAATCATGCTATTTGACCATTGAGCATAAAAGAAAACTCAAGGCTGAATTTGGTAAGTATTCGAACAACAATATGTTACTCTTTTTCTACTGGATTGGGTTATATTGACGGATAATATCGTGTCTATAATTGTAGGAATCGAGCCATGGATATTTTTGCAAAATCTAGGAGAAGCAGTGTTTATTCCCGCGGGTTGTCCTCATCAAGTTCGGAATCTAAAGGTAAACCTTTTTTTGTTTTAAGTAGAAAGGTCGGATGATAGAGAGAACGGGTGGAGGTCTAAGTACAACTCATTCTCAAACCATATGGTTGTTAGACTACTTACCAAGCCTTGAGTTTTTTGGTGATCTGACCAGAAATGCTAAGGTCTAAGTAAAACTGAATAATTTCTGATCTTCCACTTTTATTATCGTCATACCATTTGCTTTGTAGTACAAACTTTAATAAAAAACTGTATTTTTGAGTGAACAGTCGTGCACAAAATTGGCAGTTGACTTTGTATCACCAGAGAACATCCATGAGTGTCTGCGTCTGACTGAAGAGTTTCGCCAACTTCCCAAGGAACACAGAGGCGGGGTGGACAGCTTGAGGTCAGTCTTTGTCTTTTTCAATTATCTCTTCACCACCTATATATCTTCTTATTTGTTATGATCATTATTATTGTGAGCTTCTATTAGATATACCAAGTTAATAGAATAGAAATTATCTTAGTATATCTAGAATAGAAATGGCAAGCTTTTCTCTTCACCACTATTCACTCTTCTCCTAGCCAAGTGTTATTATATATTCTTAACCACATGTCTTACCTACTTCTTATTTGTAACTTGGAGATATAAGCAAACATTGTAAGCAAATAATATCATAAGCATAAAAATTACTATTCTCTGTTCTCTTCCCCAAAATCGTTTTATGCTTTGTACTTCTTCATACTCCGATCAAGCAAGTCAAGCAATCTTTGATCTTGCAAATCAAGCACTAGTCTCTCAATTCTGACAAATAGAACCATTAAAATATATTAATTTATCGTTAATATGCATCTGGTTGAGGCAGCCAAGGTCGTCAGCTGTCCAAAAAAAGGTCACAAGAAAACAGAACCGTCACATTCGATTTCAAGAGCTCGGAAGAGCAAGCTTAGTCTTACAAGAGCCATTTCATAAACTGATCAACTACAAGTACGGACCATTTGCTTCATTCCTACGGACCATTCCCCATCTAACATACAAAAAATTACCACTTATTGTTTTGGCTTTTTACCCAACTCAAGCACGAACAAAAATCAGGAAAAAGCGAGTGATTAAAAGCAGCAACCATTTGCTCAATGAGGTTGATAGATCTTGAGGTTGATCTCCCAATCATTTCTTCCCACGGTCTCCGAAATACCTCCTAAAACAGACAAAGAAAACAGATAAAGAGACAAAACTAATGTACATAGATCATACACAATAGCTTCAATTGAATGGAATCACAGATAAAATTATGTTATCTGAATAGTAGCAAGTTCTTTGATCACTGATTTGACTAGCTACTAGAATGATTGCTTAGAAGTTAACTCAATATTCTTTTTACCTACAATTCAAAAGCAAAAATTGTTTTGGCTCAGAATTACCATCTGAATCAGTGACTCACCTTGGCTCACTATGTGCATTGGAGAACTTTGAGGATCAAATCCATATGTCTTACAGATATCTTGCTCAGCCTCGCTGTGCTTAGCCACCTCCAAAACCACATGCTCAGTCATCTCAAGAATAACCTCCTCAAGAATTACATCTAAGTACTTTGCTACCTCCTCGTTCTCAGCCTCCCTATATACAAAATTTAAGCTTTCACAATTGATACATAAATGTAGAAAATGAAAGTCCAAATTGTTTTTTATCTACCACTAAATAGTAAGAAATCCATTGTTATCAAACTTATCATTGTCAACATGCAAAGAAGTATAAGAAATCAAAGACATCAAGAAGAACAGTTTAAAACACCTTAGAAAACACTTTAACAGAATCATTCACAAAGAAACCAACTTTTACATTCCAAGACACGACGTCAAACTCCAAAGAACACTTGAGATTCGTTTGACTCTTCATTTCACGCCTGCTTATGCATTGGAGATAGACATCTTTCCTAAAATCTTTTTCATCCATCCAACCTTATGGTCAGATTCCACGGAACTGTTCTCATCCTCACTACCTTCTGATGAGATCTCTACTTTATGCTTCTCCAATTCCAAACGAAGTTCCATTAATTGGGTAGTTAGTTGATTGATGACTTTATCTTTCTCAAGAATTTCAGCTCGAGCTCGAATCAATGCTTCTCTTGGCCATCCATTCACCTCTCCTTCATCGAACCACTCAAAATAGTTGCAGTGATCAATGCTACGCTTCTAATGACACAAATAATACAAATGTATCAAGAAGCCATCAACAGTCTCCGATTGTAAAAGCAATCGACTCTACCAATACCTTAAACAACCGACAACCAAATAACCTTCTTCCCGGATTTCTATCGGTCCACGATGTGGCCATCTTTGCAGGCAAATCATATATACACTTCTTTTGACCCCCAATTGAAGATTCTGAGCTCAAATTCATCTATCAAAACAAAATAAAATCCAAAAATCAAAACTAAAAACCAAACATTTTATGATATGCCAACCTTCAGGTTCTCTATGGAAAATACGCAAAACACGTTCAGCTCAAAAGGGAAGATTTCAAGACAAAGCAACGAATTATTATACAAACACAAACCTATAACATGAAAATCACATAAAATAAGTAACTGGTAAGTCAATGAACATCACATAAGCCATATTGTATATTATTTTGTTTCTATTATATAAAATAAGTGACTGACTAAATAAAAAGTATGATGAAAATTGATAGGATGCTGATGTGGCAGAGTGAAGAGAAGACATGTGGTAATTGAAAGAGAAGCTATAGTATAAATCAAGATCGTGCATTGTATACTCAACAGTACAGGCAAGCAGCTGTTAAAAAAAAGAAAAAGATGGAGAGCTTAAGCGGCGCTAGGGTTTTGGAATTAAGAGCTTACCAATATTTGTCCAGCCTGTGGAATATTTGGTCATATGGCGAGTGCATGCCCGAAGCGAGTTATGGTACAAACAGTGCAACAGCCAATGGCAGGTAATACTAGGGGTGCAGTGGAAGTTGAGCAGGGTGTGGAAGGGTTCACAGAGGTGAGGACTAGAGGGAGACGCCCTGCAAAGGAAGGGGAACAAGTAGTGTTTGCAGCAGGATGTTCGGGGGGCAAACAGACAGAGCAGGGGCCAGCAAGGGCACAGGCGAGAACTCTCGAACCTATGGAAATCTCGAATAGCTTCAGTGGGTTGGAGAAGGGACAGGATGACCAGGAGTTGAGGAGCGAGGAGAACTCAACAGAAGGGAACAAGGAAAATGCCAATAATCCAAATGTCATAGGTCAAGTAAAAGGGGGAAACCATAATGCTGTGAAGGTGATAGACGGAAAAGTGGGAACAGGAACGAATGGGCATTCAGGAGAGGAGTTGGCGAAGAAAAAGAGTGGAAGTAAGTTACAGAACCCTGTGGGAACAAAGAGTAAGAATCTGAAGGGGAGTGTTCCTACACGAGGATTGGTGTTTGGTCCAAAGGGGGGGGGGGGGGGGGGGGGGGGGGGGGGGGTATGAGTGGTTTATCTGCAGGGAAGCGACTTAGAGTTGAGCATGAGGATGTGGGAAGAGCAGGAGGGGCGTATACGAGTGGGGGGTATAAGTAGTCCAGAGCTGAAACAGCCTCATGATAAGGAGGTTGCACAGGAGCGGATTGACAAGAACCCTGAAATTGTTGGCACGAATATAGAACTGGTTCTTCATGAGAGACTACCAGACCATGGTGGGATGGATGGGGATGAATAACAGTCTGCTCTGGCTTTTCTTTGTATTTTACAGAAAGTCATCATGAATTGCATGTTATGGAATTGCCGGGGGGCTAATAAACCTAACTTCCGACGTTCGATTAGATATGTGTTGAGAAAATTTGACACGGATGTACTGGCATTGTTTGAGACACACGCTGAAAGAGGTAGAGCGGGTAGAATATGCCAACGAATGGGGTTTGAGAACTCCTTTCGAGTTGACGCTACAGGGCAGAGTGAAGGGTTGTGGCTGTTGTGGAGATCAAGTGTGGGGAATGTGGAGATAGTGTCGTCGTCATCTCAGTTTATTCAGGCGAGAGTGGTGAATGGGAATGAGATTGTGAATCTGGTGGTCGTGTATGCAGCGCCAACGGTGACCGGACACAGTGGACTGTGGGAAGAACTAAGAGGGGTGATTAATGGATTGGTAGGCCCGCTGATAATAGGTGGCGATTTCAATACTATCCTAAGGTTGGATGAGAGAATGAGGGGTAATGGGAGACTGTCACGGGACTCTCTGGCTTTTGGGGAATGGACTAACAACTTATCATTGATCGATTTGGGGTTCAGGGGAAGTACATATACATGGAAGAGAGGGCAAGGACAGGGTTCGGTTGTGGCAAAACGGCTGGATCAAGTTCTCTGTTGTGCACATGCCAGATTGAAGTGGCAGGAAGCTGTGGTTTCACATCTACCTTTCCTCTCATCAGACCATACGCCGCTTTATGTTCAGCTGAGTCCGCAGCAACTAATAGATCCGTGTCGCAGGCCATTTCGGTTTGAAGCAGCATGGTTAAAGCACGAAAGGTTTAAGGAGTTATTGACAGCGTCGTGGAACCCGAACATAACGACGCCAGCAGCTTTGGAGGGGTTACAGGGGAGGCTGAGGAAGTGGAACAAGGAAGTATTTGGTGACATACATACTCGAAAGGAGGGACTATACAGAGAGTTACAGGGAATACAAGAGCTGTTAAGTGTATCTCCCTCGAATGATCTGTTGGCTAAGGAAGAGAACTAAGTAAAAGTCTTGATGTTGTATTAGAGCAGGAAGAGACACTATGGCTTCAAAAATCCAGGGAAAAGTTGTTTGCGTTGGGAGAAAGAAATACAACTTTCTTTCACACATCCACGATTATCCGCAGGAGGAGAAATAAAATAGAGATGCTACGTGATGAAGCGAATATGTGGGTGTCAGATAGAGCTGATTTGGAGGCGTTAGCGATAGAGTACTACAAAGGCCTGTACTCTTTGGCGGATGTCAGTGAGGCGAGGGGCAGTGTATTGAAAGAGGGATTTGCGAAGCTAACGACTGCTGAACAAAGTATGTTGAATATACCTTTCACGGCAGACGAGGTTCATACGGCTGTAAAGAGTATGGGGAGCTTTAAAGCACCAGGAACCGATGGATACCAGCCAGTTTTTTTATCAGCAGTGTTGGGAGACTGTTGGGAGTTCAGCAACACGTTTTGTTCTGGAGTTCTTCGAAACGGGCATCCTACCACCGTCAACGAATGATGCTTTGATTGTGTTGCTAGCCAAAGTGACGAAACCTGAACGTATTACACAGTTTCGACCAGTGAGTTTGTGTAATGTGCTCTTCAAAATAATCACGAAGATGATGGTGATTAGGTTAAAGGGTGTGATCTCGAAACTCATTGGACCAGCTCAGTCAAGCTTTATCCCCGGACGATTGAGCATTGATAACATAGTGGTGGTACAGGAAACTGTACACTCAATGAGACAAAAGAAAGGACGTAAGAGGTGGATGCTGTTAAAATTGGACCTTGAGAAGGCTTATGACATAATAAGATGAGATTTTCTAAAGGAGACGTTGGAAGCTGTTGGGTTGTCTGAAGGGTGGATAACCCGGATCATGGCGGGTGTAACTGGTCCTTCTATGAGACTATTATGGAATGGGGAGAAGACGACTCTGTTTACCCCAGCTCGGGGGCTGAGGCAAGGTGACCCCCTTTCGCCGTATCTCTTTGTTTTATGCCTTGAGCGGTTGTGTCATCATATCGAGATAACAGTGGGAAGAGGGTTATGGAAGCCAATCAGGATATCCCAAGGGGGTCCAATGCTATCGCATGTTTGCTTCGCTGATGATCTCACATTGTTTGCTGAGGCATCTGTAGCGCAAGTGAGGGTGATCAGACGGATGTTGGAGAGTTTTTGTTTGGCGTCAGGGCAAAGTCAGTTTGGAGAAATCAAAGATCTTCTTCTCAAACAATGTCAGTAGGGATATGGAACGGTTGATTAGTGCAGAGAGTGGGATTAGATCAACAAGAGAGCTAGGGAAATACTTAGGTATGCCGATTCTACAGAAAAGGATGAACAAAGAGACGTTTGGAGAGGTCTTAGAGCGGGTGTCATCTAGATTGGCTGGATGGAAAAGTCGAACCTTGAGTCTGGCAAGAAGGATTACGCTCACTAAATCTGTGTTATCCTCAATACATGTGCACGTTATGAGTGCCATCTTACTCCCTGCCTCGACGTTGGAGCGATTGGACAGGCTATCGAGGGCGTTTATATGGGGAAGTACCGTAGAGAAGAAGAAGCTGCACCTGTTATCGTGGAAAAAGGTCTGTAAATCAAAGGAAGAGGGAGGGCTAGGAGTGCGACAGGCGCGAGATATGAAGCGAGCGTTACTAGCAAAAGTGGGGTGGAGGGTTTTGAATGACACAGAGAGTTTATGGGCGAAAGTGTTGCGGAGTAAGTACAAGGTAGGTGAGATTCATAACTACTCTTGGATGGCCCCGAAGAGCCACTGGTCGTCAACATGGCGAAGTGATGGGAAGACTATTCGCTTTTGGTTAGATAGGTTGCTGTTGGAGGAACAACTTTTGATGCGGGTGAGAACCCAAATTCTATATGAGGAGTGTTAAAAACTAGTGGGGATGTACTGGATTGAGGGCACGGGCTGGGATCTTCTGCGACTCAGTCAATACCTCCCAGAGAGCATTATACATCGATTACTTGCGGTGGTGGTGAAAGGTGTCCCGAGTATGAGGGATAGGTTATCATGGCAGGGTATATAGTCTGGGGAATTTTCTGTACGATCAGCGTATTCGTTATTGACGCTGGATGCGAGAGCTCGACCAGCAATGGCGAGCTTCTTTAAACGTATATGGAGGGTACTAGCACCGAAAAAGGTGCAGATGTTCTTTTGGTTGGTGTGTCACCAGGTACTTATGATAAATTTGGAAAGGGTGAGACGTCATCTAGGAGACTCCGACGTTTGTCAAGTGTGTAATGGTGTTGTGGAATCCATGCTACATGTGCTGCGAGACTGTCCAGCGATGGAAGGGATTTGGAGAAGACTTGTTCCTCATAGTAGACAGCTTGACTTCTCTAGTAAAACACTGTTGGAATGGTTATTTGAGAATCTGGGGGAGGGGTCAGGTAACAGTAATGTAGAGTGGCCAACATTATTTAGCATGGCAGTTTGGTAGAGATGGAAGTGGAGGTGTAGCGATGTGTTCGGAGAGAGGCGCACTTGCCGTGATAGAGTGCGTTTTATTAAGAAGATAGCGGGGGAGGTTATGAGAGCGCATCTTGCGACGAGAAGTGGAACACGAATGATAGAGAGGGGTGAAAGACTGTTAGGGTGGAAGGAACCGCGAGTAGGATAGGTGAAACTAATGACAGATGGGGCGTCTCGGAGAAACCCCAGGTCTGGCCACTGCGGGGAGGGGGGGGGGGGGGGGGGGGGGGGGGGGGTAATCCGCGATGAAGATGGGGTTTAGCTTGGAGGGTTCACGCTAAATGTAGGGGTTTGCTCTGTTCCAATTACTGAACTTTGGGGGGTGTATTACAGATTGGTAATTGCATGGGAAAGAGGGTATCAAAGAATTGAATTGGAGCTGGATTTGAAGTTAGTAGTGGATTTTCTACAAACATGAATAGGTGATATTCATCCGCTGGCTTTCCTGATACGTTTGTGCTAATACTTTTTTACAAAATATTAGTTAGTCTGAGTCTCTTATGTGTATAAAGAGGCTAATCGTCTAGCTGACAGATTAACAAATTATACGTTTACATTAACATGAGGATTTCATTCTTTTGATTCTTGTCCTGATGTAGTTCAGATGATTATGTTGGAGGATCCGGCTCGAGCCGAAGTGCCACGCACTATTCTTTTGTAATTTTGAGTTTGAAATATTATTTGGTAGGAGACAAGTGTCTCCACCCCTTACCAAAAAAGAAACCCAATTCAATACGTTGACTCAGACGTTAGTCATATTTATTCCTGTATCTGACTAAAACACCCTTCACTAATTTCAAAATATACAATCAAACCTATCTCTCATCTTCACAACGAATCTCTCTCATCTTCACGGAGAACAGTTTTCGCCGCCTCCGTTCTCCGTCGTGTCAATCGTCGAATGCTTCCGTGCTTCTAACAGTGAGTGAGTTTTATCTCTACTCTGTTTTTTTTTTCTTCTTTTCCGGTATCTTCTCTTAACTTTCGTTGTTTGACTGGATCTGGGTTGTATGATTCATCTTCTTTTCGCTTGGCATTCGTTTTCGTGATCCGGATTTTGTTAAATTCTTTTGAACTTACGGTTTTTCGATCTGGATTTTGTTACCATCTTGGATAATTTTCCGTTGATCATGGAAAAACAGTGTTGAAAAACAATTTGTGCTCATTTTGTCGTTGATTGGTGAACAATTTGAACTTTGTCGAGAGTTTATGTATGAAATCCTACAAAGTCTAGCTCTTTGCTCATCATATACTCTGGAATATACAAAAGAGCTGGACAATGTGATGTTCTTATGAGCAAGCTTTATAGATTGCACAAGAGCTGTTCGCTAAAATGCCTGAAAGAAGCTGGTTTCATCTTTCTAGCTGTTTGAGTTGCTTTGCTGGTTGATATTGACATCCTTCTGCTTTTGTTCCGTCTGCGAATTGACGTAATTATGTACTTCTTGTGTTTCGTTCGAGCTTAATTGTGGTTAATTGTTCATGTTTTGGAGGCAGAGGAAGCGAAATCTGAGGAAAGAAAATGGACAAGAACTTGGAAGATTTGAGAAATCTCGCGGAGCAGTGGTTGCATGAAGGAAATGAATTCGTTCAACAGATACCGCCGGCTCAGCTTTATGCTGCTCTCGGTGTTCTGTTGTTAACTACCATCTTCTTCTTCTCTAGTAAGTAGTAGACATCACATCCTTCTTCTCATTGAACTTGGTTCGAGATTTATATTAGGATCTGGATCTCTCTCTGGTGGGAATCTTGTACTTGTAGGCATAGAGTTTTGGAATTGGATATATAAAAAGTTCAATAATTTTCTTGCATTCTTGTTTGTGGTTGAGGAAGTTCGATGTTTACTTTAGACTTGTGAGTATATTAGTTCATTGAGTGTAAAGTTGCTTCTATGTTCTTGGTTTAGAACTGTTATTCCAGTCTTTGATGTCTTTGCAATATCTCACTTTGATTATACATAAAGAAAAATCACATGTTTTGGTGGCTGAATGTCGTTACTTTTTGCTGCCTTGTGCAGTTCGGTTGTTCAGACGTACGAAGTCCAATACTGTACTCCTCTCTGGGCTTAGCGGAAGTGGAAAAACCGTGCTCTTCTATCAAGTGAGTGTTGATGTATTCTTGTTATCATAAAAGCTGCTGAAAGAAACGAGTAGGTGAATGTTGTGCCATTATAAGATGGTTTGATTTACGTTTTATATTTGTGACAGCTCCGAGATGGATCTTCTCATCATGGTGCTGTAACGTCAATGGAACCGAACGAAGGAACCTTTGTGCTGCACACTGAGAACACTAAGGTACAAGAAAGATCTTCACTTAAATTTCGTTCAAGAATTGTAAAAGTGTTTTATAGACTAAAACAGACATTGCCTTGTGTTTTACAGAAAACAAAGCCTGTTCATCTTGTTGATGTTCCTGGGCACTCTCGGCTTAGGTCGAAGCTAGAAGAATACTTGCCTCGAGCAGCCGCTATTGTGTTTGTAGTAGATGCACTTGAGTTCCTCCCAAACTGTCGCGCAGCTTCAGAGTAATTACAGATGCTTTGTCTAGTCATAACGTGACTCTTTTGAAGAGACGAAACATTTTAAACATGGTTTTGTGCTTCTCCAGGTACCTTTACGACATTCTGACAAATGCGAGCGTGGTTAAGAACAAGATCCCGGTCCTGCTTTGCTGTAACAAGACGGATAAAATAACTGCACACACAAAAGAGTTCATCCGCAAGCAGATGGAGAAAGAAATGTAAGATTATGTGTTTCTGAATCCTGAAGATATATATATAAGCTCTCATTGATTGTTCCTCTTTGTTTTGTTGGCAGAGAGAAACTTAGGGCTTCGAGGAGCGCGATCTCAGCAGCTGATATAGCCAATGACTTTACGCTCGGGATTGAAGGAGAAGTGTTTTCCTTTGCGCATTGCGTAAACAAAGTCACGGTCGCTGAAGCATCGGGACTAACAGGTGAAACAGCTCAAGTACAAGAGTTCATCAGAGAATATGTTAAGCCATGAGAGCTGCCGAAAATGTGTGAGCATCAATCATACACTATAACAAAGTATTTTCTTGTGTACATGATGAAATTTATGATTTTGGATGATGGAAATTGTGTTAATGCCGTAGAGAGTTTTAGCGTCTCATCCAAGCAACCTGTTAAAACCCACAAAGTTCTAGTCCATGCTCATCTGTTTAATCTCAGCTGATGGAATTATCTTTATGCTCTGAACACAGTTTATGAACTCTCTACAAAAAAATTCAGAATTTTCAAAGTTTATGAACAAAAAAGAATGGAAACTTTCTAAAGATCTAACGTGTGAATGGTAATTGCTCCACACTTACACCCATGGATCATCGCCGACGAGAATGATGTCGTTTTCATGATCGACGTAGACAAGATTCCAGTATGATGTTTTCGGATCCTCAAGCTGTCCTTCGATCCCAAACATGCGAGCTAGATCATGCCTCAACTCATCGTAGCCTATGTAACGGTTGACATCTATCGATCTCCCCACCGAACCTCGCTTTTGCGCCTGTCAAGAAAAAAAGTTTCAAACATTGTCAAACCAAGAAAACGAAACTATTTTCGTTTCGTCAGGACAAAAGTTCCAACATCTCACCTCGAAAAACATTACAAAAACATCGCTTTGTGCAAGACTTTGCCCCCTAGGTTTCACCTCGAAAAACGTACAAAAAGTATCTCCACGAGATGTTTTGTACATGATCTTGTGTTGACATCGTCTATGGCATCTTTTGCACAAGGGTCGACTAAGACGAGTGTTGGGAATAAGCTCAATCGTTAACCCATCAATGTGATACAGAGTTTGTCCAGCCTTCATATAAGGGTTCTTACCTAATATACAATCGATATGGAACGTGACACCACACTCATTGCATGCGTAGTATCCTTTCCTCGGATCTGTTGTTTTCTCGCAAACTTGGCACCAATAAGGAGTGGTTGCATTCTTCTCATAAGTAAGGGTGAGAATATGCTCATCATGCTCATGCTTCGTCTTGTAAGGAAGATTGGCACAGCGAAAGCACAAGATAAAGTTACACTTAACACAGTTTAAACAGCGATTCTCTGGTGAAAAACATATCGAGCAGCTTTGACTAGTTCCTCGCCTGTAGATTAAGAACAACGGATGTGGATGAGATGGATGATTGAGGAGATCAGGTAAAGAGGCACATACTACGTCCACGTAGTAACTGTCACACCCTTCGACACACATGTATCTGAAACCGCAAGAGAACTCACCGCAAAACGGACACGCTAAGTACGTTTCTATAGGAGGCGTCGGTTTTAGAATCAACCTGTGGGGATGCACCACGCTGTATTTTAAGCGAGAGAGATTTGCACATTCTTCATGCAAAACGAAATCACACTGCATACAGCTATAAACATTACCTTCACAGAGAGGAAGCATGCACGCTTGACAAACTTGTTTCCCATCAAAGACTCTTTCAGTATCATCTTCATCAACGAGTCTCATGTGATGGTGCGCGTGGCTAAAATGCCGTATAACACCGTCACCTATCTCCTCAAACGACTGAACATTATCATGTACCAGTACCTCCTCTGGTTCGTCCTCAAGTTCTTTCCCATCCCATACATCACGCTGAGTCGCACACCTGGAGTGCACTGCATAAGCGCAGCTCTTTGTGCAAGAATATGCACCATAGTTTTCATTCATCTTCCGGCGACAAACTCCGCAAGACCAATCCTCGGAAGGAAGAGAGTAAGCAAAAGAAAGACGATGGTTGTGAAAAGGTATTAGTATAACGCGTGGCAAGTCGATACACGTTCGATGGACTACAAAGTCGCACTGAAGACAAATGTAGAAGCAACATTTGTTATCATTTGATGCACAAACGTCACAAGTAACCGAGGCTTGTTTTGGGAAGTAGTGGAGGGTATGCTCATGCCTTTTGAGATTGTTTATAGCAGAAAACTCTCGTTTATTTGCACAAACAGGATCCAAAGAAAGACCCCACTTTGAAGAATGATAAAACAATCCCGAAAACCCCATTCCACAAGAATGACATTCCTTTACGGTGACGCCACGATCATATTTAAAAAGCTGAAGAGGGTATTTTGGGTGGCAAGGGGAAATGAAAATAGGAGGAGACTCGACACATTCTTTGTGATAAGAATTTTGACAGTCGTTGCAAAAGTAATAGATCGTACCAGTTTTAAAGCTACGACAAGCGTTGCAGTAGATTTCGTGTCCTTCACCTTCTTCATTATTGTTGCACCCAAGAAGCAAGCGAAGATGGTGAGAACGTAAAACCTGGTCTTCTTCAGCAGCATCAGAGATGTGATAAGAATTGTTAATGGTGAGAAAAGTTGTATGACCAATCCTTATCTCTGGGAACCATCTTTCTTCTGTGTTTTTGGTTCGTAAGTCAGGGCATATGAAAGGAGCAGGAGGAGGGTAGTCGATGGAGGTTCTTATGTCAAGGGATCGTGGAGGAGAAGCAAAAGGAGAATCCATGGATAGTATTCAAGAGAGCTACTTGTTTTTGATGCTTAGAAGAGATGTTAAGAGTTTTTTTTATGAATGAGCTTGTTATGCCTAACCTACTTATTCCATTTATATAGACACGGCCAACATTATAGATCATTTTCATTTCTCTACTCCTTACACAAAGTATTAATACCGTTCTTGTATTCTATATTCACGCAAAGTAGTAATAATATAAGGAAACATCATACTATTCTATATTCCTTTCTTAATTATTGCACTCTCTCCCACGGTTTAACTACGATCCCTTTTTTTTTTTTTTTTTTCAATTTTTGGTTAATCGAAAAGTTCTGATTCGAAATCCATCATCCATGCATCCATCTTTTCATCTTTTCATTAATTCTGAAAGGTCGACTCCTTTCTCCGGTGTGTTGTGGATCGAAGCCAATGCGGTCTCACGGAGATACGTGTTAGGCACGTCTAGACTAGGACTTTATATGTGAATGTGAATGTTAGTAATTAACTAGGTTTAAGTTAATTGTATGACTATATATACGTATCTTGGATATCATATTCAATGGTCTTTTTTTTTAAAACTTAAATTCAAATTCAAAATTTGTGTGGTTTTCATGGACAGATCCCCCAACGTGAGAGGTTTTATGATTTTTGATAAACAAAAATGAGTTGAGAGAAATTCCAACCAAACCGCTTTTGGTTTAAATTTGCATAGAATCAATTACATTAATCGTTTGGGTAATTATTATTTGACAAATCTTTTTTTTGTTAGCTTCCATACAGTCAGTTTGATTGTTTTTTCAAATTTTTTAAACCAAATTTGGTAGATCCAATTAGTCTGTCTATATGCCAATCAAGAGGTAAGGTTCCATCTCATCTGCATAAAAAAATTATCAATTATTTTACAATTTATGATGAAATGGTACCGTCCAAAAAGTTGAATTCAAATTCTACAATATACAAAAAGGTGAAATGTTTAAGTTGGGCTGGCTAAGATTAGGATGCAACACATTAACAATAATTAATTTTAATGTTGATGATGTAGAGCACTATAGCTACTGGTTTATGCTCTCCAGGCTGTTCACTTCTCACATTACCCACACTAAAAATAATTAAAGTAACTTTAAACTTTAAAGACTGAAATAATAATGAATCATTAAGGAATCTAAATCCCACATTAAATTATATATGCTCTATAAATACCAACCAATCAATAGTCGTCTGAGTGTCTCAACCTCAAATCAAACCATTACAAGAAGAGACTTCCCTAAAGTGGAAAACCAAAACTTACAAATGGTTTCTCAGACACTTTTGGTTATGTCATTATCTCTTTTTGTTGGTTTAAACATATTGCTTGTTTCACACGCTAACGATCTCAACCATGACATTGACATAACATGGGGTGATGGTAGAGGAAACTTTTCGAACAATGGTACTCTTCTAAATCTCGCTCTTGATCAATCTTCGGGATCAGGGTTTCAATCGAAATCCGAGTATCTGTACGGTAAAGTCGACATGCAGATCAAACTTGTCCCGGGGAATTCCGCCGGGACCGTGACTACCTTCTACGTAAGTTCTTCTTACTTAGCTATACATAAATATAAAAACCTTATGTTAAATTGAATGTTACATTTTGGTTGGGTGTGTACGTATATATAGTTGAAGTCTCAAGGATTAACATGGGACGAGATAGATTTCGAGTTCTTGGGGAACGTTAGTGGAGATCCATACATACTTCACACTAATGTTTACACTCAAGGCAAAGGTGATAGAGAGCAACAATTCTACCTTTGGTTCGATCCCACGGCTGAGTTCCATAACTATTCTATTCTTTGGAATCCGAGTCACATTGTGTAAGTACATTATACCACAATCCAAATTATAAGTTAATCATTTTCACTGTGAACTAAAATTTTACTCCCTCTTGTTTTATATATGATGTTTTATAAATTATTTTTTGTTCAATAATAGTTGATGTTCTCCTCACATATCTATGCAGAAAGTAATTGCATTCTTGTTTGAATTTTGTATATTATTTTTCTATTGGTTTAATTGTTTTGGAATTGATGATCAAACATGTTTTGTTTTGGAAAAATACAAAATTAAATTATTTCTTAATCTATGTGTAAAAACATCATATATAAGAAAACAGAGGGAGTAGTGTTTATAGAAAAGTGAAGCGGGTTGACTTTTTAGATTGTGAATCAGTAGTATAGATCAATAAGATGATATACTCTCTTCGTTTTTTAATATAAGATGTTTTAAGACTCTTTTTTTGTTTGAAAATATATGATGTTTTCAGAAATCAATGCAAAATTTATTAATAAATGACTTGTTTTACCTTTAAATTAATTGGTAACTAAACAAACAAATAATAATAAATAGGCTACAATAGACAATTTACAAGTTTTCTTAATCCATGTGCCCAACTCTAAAACATCCTATATTTAAAAATGGAGGGAGTACATATTTAAATATATTTCTTTAATTTAAAATGATTTTTTCAATTATATTTGCTAATTTTATTCTTGAACAATTTCTTGAGTTAATATGATTATATTCTAAATAGGTTCTATGTTGATGGGAAGCCAATTAGAGAATTCAAGAATTTGGAAGCAATGGGTGTGGCTTATCCAAAGAGCCAACCCATGAGAATGTATGGTAGTTTATGGAACGCAGATGATTGGGCCACGAGGGGAGGCTTGGTCAAGACAAACTGGTCACAAGGACCATTCGTGGCCTCTTTCATGAACTACAAATCCGACAATGCTTGTGTCTGGTCGTCACTTGATAATGGAACCACGAGTACTACTTCTTGTAGTCCCAGCGGCTCGTCTTCTTCTTCTTCGAGTAGTACTAGCGAGTGGTTTTCGCAGAGAGGGATGGATTCTTCGAGCCAGAAGGTTCTTAGATGGGTTCAGAGGAAGTTTATGGTTTACAATTATTGTAAGGACAAGAAAAGGTTCTCTCACGGTTTGCCTCTTGAATGCACTACCAAGAACAAGAACAAGAACAAAAAGTCTTGATATTCTTATCTTTTTTTATCCGAAAGATTATTGAGTTTTGGAATATTTATGTAATGATGATTTGCATTATATGGTTGTATTGGGATGAGTCTTATATAACTATTAAGTTTTTGTATATGGACTTTATTGGTTAGCTAACGAAGCTGTAGAATTTATTTGTGTAATCAAAATTTAGTCATTGTTATACAAAAAATACTATCAAGAACAAGAACATAATATGACAGCGTTTAGAAAAAAAAAATCTATACAAAAATACAAAATTTAGAAAAAAAGAAATTTAGTCATTGTTATACATCATACGACAGCGTTTCATGGGAGCACCGCTTGTCACGTTTCTTCCACTATCTTAGCACGTGATAGTGATTTTTTTTACTCGTCGTCGTCGTCGCGTCTTCAGATCGGATCAATTTTTATTTCCCCAGTAAATTTTGCCCTAAATCTATTTCCCGGGAAAATCTATACCGGTTTATTCAATCGTACATTTCTCTGGGAAAAAAAAACGAAGGAGAAATGTCGCAAGGCGATACGATACCGCTTCATCCATCTTCTCAATCAGACATCGACGAGATCGAGAATTTGATTAACGAAAGCTTCCAATCAGGTCCCGGAACCGTCCTCGCTGCTCGTCCGCCGAGCCCTATAAGACCATCGATTCCCGTTTCTTCCTCTCCGTTTATGCAATCGAACCTTCCACCGCTTCCTCCGTCGTCGTCTTCCGCTCAGAAAGTGACTTCCGTCCCCGTCCCTCCGCCTCTTCCGGCGTCAGGTAACTCCCAAGGTGCACAGAACATTGGAGCTAGCGGGTTTGGATCTCCGCCTAACACGTTGACGGAGCCTGTATGGGACACAGTGAAGCGTGATCTGTCTCGGATCGTGAGTAATCTGAAGCTGGTGGTTTTTCCTAATCCATATAGGGAAGATCCTGGGAAGGCGCTTAGGGATTGGGATCTTTGGGGACCGTTCTTCTTCATCGTGTTCTTGGGTCTTACTCTCTCATGGTCAGCTTCCTTCAAGAAGGTTAGCTCTCTCAGATTCAACGTTTCATCATCTTCTTCTTCTTCATTAGACGCATTTGAGGATACAAAACTGGAACTTTATAGCTTTGGATGGAATGTAGATAGTCTTTAACTTCTCTGCCATTAAAGCTTGTTCTTCAATTGATGGTTTATTGGATTAATTCGGATATTTTTCCAGTAGAAGGGTTCCTCTAGGATTTGCGCCTCTTGTGGAATTGTTCATCACTTGATTAGATCACAACAGATTCTGAGTTACAAACCGATTCCATGAACATCAACAATTGCAGAACTTAGCTTGCATTGGTGTAATCGCAGCTTAGCTTTGCCATACTGAATGTGTCTAAGTCCATTATAATAGATCCCTGTGTGGATATATAGTTTGATGATGGGATTAAGAAGATGCCGAAAGAGTAAAAATGTTTCTTCTTCATCTCTGAGACTTCACAGCTTGAGGCCTATCCTTTCTTCTCCCTGTGATTGCAGTCCGAAGTATTTGCAGTGGCATTTGCACTACTAGCAGCTGGGGCAGTGATTCTTACACTAAATGTGCTTCTCCTGGTAAAACGCTACTCCTGGATCATCACAGATACTTTGGTTTGATGGTATTGCTTACACGTTTGTGTTGTTGTCAAAACATGAGCAGGGAGGACATATAATCTTCTTCCAGAGCTTGAGTCTTCTTGGTTACTGTCTCTTCCCGCTAGACGTTGGAGCTGTGATCTGCATGCTGAAAGACAATGTGATACTGAAAATGGTAGTTGTCTCTGTAACTCTTGCCTGGAGCTCGTGGGCTGCTTACCCGTTCATGAGCTCCGCGGTTAACCCGAGAAGAAAAGCGCTCGCTCTTTACCCTGTCTTCCTCATGTATGTCTCCGTCGGTTTCCTCATCATCGCCATCAACTGAATCCCCTAAAATATACGTATATGGAAATGTAAAGAAAGCAAATCGTGTCACATGGATAGAAATTTTGTCATACGCCAAATATATACTGTGTTCTGATGATCATTCATATGTATAAACATGTTTTTTTTGACCCTAGACTCTATATCTGTATCAAAACTTACGACATGAATACAGTTTTTTGTACTTGATGAAACAGATCTGTTTGATTTTTGATTATACCAAGGTTTGGTTCCAGAAACGTACCATGAAATGTTTGAACCGGTTATGGCCAATTTTCCTTAACCAGGAATTTAAATCGGTCCTAAATCAAACCGGAAGAGCCTGTGTGTTAGACGAACCTTCTGAACCGAAGAGAGAGTTTGGTTCGCTGTTTAAGTTTTTAGGAGTGGTCGTTCAAACCTCCGGGTGTCCTTATCAGATCCAGCAAGCTCCTTCGTTATTCCTTGATCTTTCATTTGTTTCTCGTGTATCGAACCTGTTATCGTTGTAAACTGTCTTCTCGAGTGATAGTGGATACAGTTGAGAGAGACATATCCCTCCCCAGAGACGTAGCCATCTTGGTGAATTCTGGGTGAACAAATCGCGAGTCATTTCTCTTCCATTTCCTTGATCCGCAAGCTAAAACCTGCAAATCATGAGAGTTAATCAAGTCAAGTTTCAACACTTACAAACAATTACAGTTTAGTACATTTGAAATTCATCTTTTTGTTTGTTGCAAGTACATTAGAACTCATTACAATGGCAAAATCTTCGAATATAATCAAAGAATTTCAGCATAGTTTGAATACACGATTTTATAATTATATTCTAAGCAAACGAATTTTCAATTTTTTTTTTGTTGGTATATACAGAAACTAAAAATCCTAATCATATTTTTTTTTTGATTTATATTGTAAGGAAAATATTACAAGGCTATGATTATACCATGAAATGTTTGAACCGGTTATGGCCAATTTTCCTTAACCAGGAATTTAAATCGGTCCTAAATCAAACCGGAAGAGCCTGTGTGTTAGACGAACCTTCTGAACCGAAGAGAGAGTTTGGTTCGCTGTTTAAGTTTTTTCCCCTTCCAAAAACCCTCTTCTTCTTCTTCCGTTAACTCGACTCGGTGCCTCACTTCACTTTCTGGTTTGATACGTTCCTCGATTTCTCGGGTCTTCGTTATGGTACTCTTTTAGATTCCTTTCTCTGATTTCTTCTGTAGTAATATACTTGGTTAAGTGAAAGCGCTCTCTCTCTCTCTGTCTCTCTTTCGTGATGAATGTTGTTGCTCGTTAATTGCAAGGTGGGTGCTTTGAATATCATGTCAGAGACTGGTGATTTATGTCTAGAGCTGTCCGAAGATGATCCCTTTTATCAAGAAAAAAAGGTGTGAGTTGCCAATTTCTCAGCCCTTCTTTCATCTCTGTACTCAACTCTGTTAAGCTAATTTGTTTTCAGTTTCATGATATTCGAAAGATTCGATTTTTATGCAGCAAAAACTTTTTAAAAAATTACATTTTATTACTTCTTTCTCGACACGTGAGTTGTGTGGATCAGTATAGGTCTATGTTCATTAGAATTTAGAAATGGTTTCTCAAGTTCAGGAGGAATAAAATTTCAAGTTTTGTGTAAGCATTTTTCTTCATGTTTCTCTTATGATTTTCCGTCTGCAGAAGCTCTTGAGTTGCAAAGGTTTAGGCGTAAAGGAAACGTTGAGTCTCAGTGGTTCATTGTCTCAACAGTCGTTGAACGTTGCTTTCGAAAAGCTGCTTCAGTTTGGAAGAATAGCTAACCTCGATAAGGTAAAAGCTCTCCACGTTCTTGCCTTTCTCTTTCTGGTGGCTTGATTGTGAAGTTGCTTAGAGTGATGGAATTGTGAGTGAAATGCAGGTGGAAGTTTATTTTGGCGAGGATGCCTGCACTTCTGCAGGACTTTACAGCGTTAGAAATGAAATCTCAGCTCTCAGCTGGATCCTTTCGCTCATATCGGTTTCTTGTGAAACGCAAACACAAACCGAGACCTTGGAAGCTCTACGAGAAGCTGTGAAAAGCAAAATCAGTGAGGTTGTTGGAGAGGAGAAGGAGGAAGCTAGAGTTGATTATAGCTACAGATGCGAAAAGGAAAGCAGATTAGTAGAATGGGGTCAGAACAATGGAGTCAAGTCCAAATTGCAGATAGCTCGTAAGCTTTTTAAATGTTTTTTTTTCTCTTATGAAGATAGAAATTTCAGCAATGATGAAGAGAGATTTATAGAATGTGTTTTATTTGGATAGAGATTGATGGCTATGGACGAGGAGCTGTAGCTAGTCAAGACTTGAAAATTGGGGATGTTGCTATAGAGATACCAATCTCAAGTATCATTTCTGAGGAGTGTGTGAACAACTCCGACATGGTATATATTCGTTTTCTTGATCCTGAAACAAAAGATTCATTATATTGGTTCTCATCATCTCAATGTTATATGAGTGATTGGTTTATTCTCTCTTTCAGTACCCAATACTGGAGAAGATAGATGGGATGACATCTGAGACAATGCTGCTCTTATGGACCATGAGGGAGAAGCATAACATTGAGTCGAAATTCAAGCCATACTTCGACTCTCTGCAAGAGAATTTTTGTACCGGTAACAATCTGTGGAGAACTAAATTCTTGTATTAGTATTTTTGTTTTGAAGAGATAACAAACAGTGGATTCTCTTTGCAGGTTTGAGTTTCGGGGTTGATGCAATCATGGCGCTTGATGGTACATTGCTTTTAGATGAGATAATGCAAGCTAAAGAGGTGTGAACAAGATTCTTGGTCCTGTGATATGTAATACGTTTCTTGAGTCTATTAATTGGCTTTTGTTTTGTATATCTGCAGCTTTTGCGTGAGAGATATGATGAACTGATTCCTCTTTTATCGAACAACCATGAGCATATATTTCCACCGGAGCTCTATACATGGGAACACTACGTATGGGCTTGTGAGCTGTATTACTCCAACAGCATGCAAATCAAGTTCCCTGATGGAAAGCTAAAGACCTGTTTGGTTCCTGTCGCCGGTTTTCTTAACCATTCGGTACATCCACACATAGTCAAATATGGGAAAGTGGATCTCGAAACAAGCTCCTTGAAGTTCCCACTCTCAAGACCTTGCAACAAAGGAGAACAATGTTTTCTCAGCTACGGAAACTACTCTAGCTCTCATCTGTTAACGTTTTACGGGTTTCTGCCAAAAGGCGATAACCCGTATGATATCATTCCCTTAGGTAAGCTACTTCTTACCTTCTTCACTCTGTTTTCGTCCATTTTTGTTTGCCTAAAACTGTCTCTGAATCTCATCTCTTCCTTGCAGATGTTGATGTCATTGATGATGAAGACATGGAGACCGAGACTTCTTGGACAGCTCACATGTTACGCGGGACTTGGCTGTCGAGAAATCACGACATCTTCCACTACGGCTTGCCTACTCCATTGTTGAACTACTTGCGGAGAGCTCATGGTCTTGTTCATCATTGCGAAACAGATGTATCTAATCTTGACCACCGTTCTTATAATTACAAACTCTGTCTCTGAATCTACTTACTTATAGATGTTTGATCTCTTTTCTTTGGTTCTTATATAAGCTGTGGAAGAACTTGGAAGTAGAGATGGGAGTACTCGAGAATCTAAGACCCACATTCGACGACATGATGCAAAACCTTGGAGATGCGGTGGATGATTCTATGGACAGGTAAAAGAAAAAGCTGTTGTTGTCTTTATGATATATATGGAAACCCGAAACAGAGCAAGCGAACTTTCCGTTTATGGTTTTTACAGAGAAAACACGGGTTGGGATGTTAAAATGGCGATCAAGTTCAAAGAGCGGCAGAGAAAGATCGTCTCTTCCATTCTTGATTCTTGCTCTGCAGGTATCACGCTTGTTCATGGCCATCTCTTTCCCTGAGAAATCACCATCGTTGGGCCTTGTAACAGATTACTTCATCCTGGTGATTTGGGCCGGTTTGCTAAATTAATGTTGCAAGGCTGGGAAGGCCCATTACTCTTATTATCTCCGGGTGGTGCCTTTGTAATTTAGTTGCCATTCCTTTTGGTTTAGTGAAAACCGGTTGAGATTTTGAAATCAATAACCAGAAGAAGATATTCTAAACCCCATTTCGATAAAGGTTGGTTTAAGCTAACTTATCTTGAAAGTTGACAATTGACACAAGTACCCCGTAAGGTTTATTTTCCAAAGACGAAAGAAGTGGGCATTTTCGTAATTTCAGTTGTTTATTTTGGCAAATCACGGTATTATTAATATCGCTGAGGGGACCACCGTTTCCTTCCCCACCACAACCAACCATTTTCCTCCGTTTCTTTTTTTTTTAATATATAAATCGGTAAAAAAATATAAAAAATCAATTATTATCTTAGGTATTTTAAATTCGTCAAGATATATACTTTAATGCCAATTAATTTATTATTATTTATTTTTCTCTTCTTCTTCTTCAATTTTTTTCCTTGTTCTTTCTCCCATGGCTTCCTAAGCTTTTCTCTCTCTTCACCTGCAATTTCTCTTCGATTCTCTCTCTCATCTTCTGGTTTCTCTTAAATTTTTTTCTCTTCGTAAGAGAAACGACATTGGTGATTCCTGAGATTTCTTCATCAGATCCTTAATAGAATTTTAACTGGTAAGGAATCTTATAATTTATTTTCATAGATTTCGAGCTAATTCTCCCTTTTTGTTTCAATATTTTGAAGGGTTTTTGTCAGTTTTTGTTTTTTTCCGCAATTTTTTTTCTCCTGCTAAGATTTCTGTTAAACGAATCAAATTTTTTTAACCATGAAACCAGAGAAATTCGTTTCAGTCTGCAATTTCATTTTTTTTTCCTATTGATGGAGAAAATAACCTCTTTTTTGTTAATTAGTATTGTAACCTATTTGTTGCATACAATTATTCTCTTTGATTATTCTTTCCTTCTTTCCGGCGTAAATCCTTGTAATTGTTTTTCTCGAGATGAGCTCAAAAAAAAAAAAAAAAAAACCGTTTTGAGGATTTGTGGCAGGAGAATCTAGCAATGAAATTGGTTTCTCCAGATTTAAGCATCGTTTATGTTATTATGATATGAAACTATCTCCAAACGATTTCTCTCTTGTTGAATATCATATAACTTAAAAACTCCTTTGTGTGCAGATAACTTTCTTCCTTGGATGAAGAAGGTTGGTGTTTACACCTTATTACAACTTTAATCACTCCAACGAACGATGAGAAGCTGGTTCTTGTTTACTATCTATTTATCTCATGATACAGTCGAGAAGCAAACCTTTTCTGCAAATGCTAGTTTTATAAGCAAACTCAAGGAATAATGGAAAGGTTACTACTTTTTCTTCTTCTTGCTGCAGATAATTGTCGGACTTAATCCGAGAAAACTGACATTCCCAGATTCTGGTTTTGCTCTTTTGTAGATATAAGTTTCTTGAAGAGCTTGGAGATGGGACTTGTGGCAGTGTATATAAGGCCGTTAATTTGGAAACATATCAAGTTGTAAGTTTGTGTATATACTGTCTTTTTTTCACGCATCTAATGTTGTTGTGGCTAAACTCTATCTTACTTATCTTATGTTTTGTCCTTAGGTTGCTGTTAAGAAGATGAAGAGGAAGTTCTATTATTGGGAAGAGTGTATGAATCTGCGAGAAGTAAAGGTGTTGTATCATCGATTGTTGAAATCCCCTGTGGCCATTTTGTGTTCAAGTTTGATGATATGATGATTTTTTTGACCTCTGCAGGCTCTTCGTAAGCTAAACCATCCCCATATCATAAAGCTGAAGGAGATTGCCAAGGAACATGACGAGCTTTTCTTCATCTTCGAGTGCATGGTAGATATGATCTTTGCCTTCTTTTCTTTCTTTGTAGGATCTTTGTACTGATGCTGATATTGTATTACTGACACTGATCTTCGATTATGATTTTGATTAGGACCACAATCTGTACCAAATGATGAAAGAAAGGGAACGGCCTTTCTCTGAAGGAGAAATAAGAAGTTTTATGTCTCAGATGCTGCAAGGCCTCGCACACATGCATAAAAATGGTTACTTCCATCGAGACCTGAAACCAGGTATGTTTGTCAAAGCTACTTTCAGTTTGGTTTTTAGAATGTCTGTCTTTCTTAAACAAATCTGTATTCCGGTTTCTTTTTTTATCTGAAGAGAATTTGCTGGTGACCAACAATATCCTAAAAATTGCCGACTTTGGACTGGCTAGGGAAGTTGCATCTATGCCTCCTTACACTGAATATGTGTCCACGCGTTGGTAAGTGATTGATTTGATATTTGCTTTGGCAGGTTACAATAGTCTTCTTATTAGCTTATTATAATTGGCTCTTATTGTATGTAACAGGTATCGAGCTCCTGAAGTTTTGTTACAGTCTTCATCATACACTCCTGCAGTTGGTACTTTTTGCAAAATCTTTGCTTCACCACATTACATTAGAGTCATATCAAAAGTCTAAAGACTAATATCTTCAAAAACTGCAGACATGTGGGCAGTGGGGGCAATATTAGCTGAGCTTTTCTCCTTTTCCCCGTTATTTCCTGGTGAAAGGTGAATTCTTTGTCCTTTAACTTTGTTCTTGCGCATATAATTTTTTGATCTCTGACGTTGAAGTTGGCTAGTTCATGTTCTAACCTCAGGCGATTCTACAAAAACAGTGAAACCTGGTTGTGCATTTTAGCTTGTTTTGTCGAGTTTGTGTATATAATGATGGTTTCCTTATGAGCAGTGAGATAGATCAATTATACAAGATTTGCTGTGTTCTTGGCAAGCCGGACTGGACCACGTTTCCTGAAGCAAAAAGCATATCTCGAATTATGAGTATTAGTCACACAGAGGTAAGACACCTTTATGAAAAGAGAAGCATCATTGTACTTAAATATCGAACTTGCTCTTGAAATTCCTTGTGAACAGTTTCAGCAGACACGGATTGCTGATCTACTCCCTAATGCTACTCCTGAAGCCATTGATTTGATCACAGTGAGTCCTTTGTGTTCACTCTTCCTGTGAATACTTCTTACCAAAGTTAGTATCTTTCTTCAATATCTTGATTTCCTAGATATGATATGTATCTCTTTTTGACTCATCAGAGACTTTGCTCATGGGATCCATTAAACCGACCAACTGCAGATCAGGCGCTAAATCATCCGTTTTTTAGTGTAATTTGAAAATCCCCTTGCTTCTTGTGAATCTCTCTCTCTATCTCTCTTGAAAATGTATTGATATTTGCTCAATAGATGGCTACGCAGGTTTCATATCCTCTACATGACCTTGAGTTGAGGCTTAACAATATGGGTGAGTTTTTTCCTCTGTTTCTGCTTCATGTGTTCTCGTTTCATAACCGTAAAGATTAATTTCAATTACACTTGTTGTATTCCAACAGCGGCGATGCCTAATCTTGAGTTAAACCTCTGGGACTTCAACACAAAACCGGATGAGTGTTTTCTTGGCTTGACGCTGGCTGTAAAACCAAGTGCTCCTAAACTTGGTAAGTATCATTCCCTTTGTGTAGAGTAGATGCGTGGTCACGATTACACAAAGTTTGTCATTGACATTGCAAGAATTTAAACCTTTATTTTGCAGAAATGGTCTGCAATGCATCTCAGGACATGAGCGAGGTAAGCAAATCTTAAACAGAGCATTGTTAAAACTTCTCCATGAGTTTGTAATGAATCCAAATATAGAAAAAAAAAAAAAAAAAGATTTATCTCTTTTTTGGTTTGCAAAACTGAATTAATGGTATACAATGCAGAATTATCTCTTTTGCCCCATGGTTAATAATGACCGAGAACCATCAGGTAATGAAAAGCTTGAGCGTATGGTAAACTGCAAATTTCGGTTTATGTCTCTCCGAGGGAAAAAGTTGTTTGAATTGCTTTTTTCTTGAACGTTTACAGTTTTCTGGTCTCTGCTCTCTCCTGACGAAAACCGCGTCCACGCACCAGTTGAATCATCATCACCTTTGTCTCTGTCCTTCAGGTGAGAATGATTCCCTGTTTTCTAATGGGATCCATTGAGTTTTATGTGTTTACAGAAACTCGTAAACCGGAATCTTTTGTTCTTGTGAGCAGTCCAATGCAGCAACACACAACAATGGGAGCTCCTTCACAGTCGAGTGGGTTCACCATGGCATCATCGATGCAACCGAATATGTTGGACCGCCCGTGGATGACTGTGTCTGCGCCGTTTCAACAAACTACTCATTACCTCTGATCTGAATCCATATACCTAAGTAAATAACAGAGGTTTGTCAGAAAGATTTGAGTTAAAGAAGAAGATAGAGAAGGAAGAAAAAAAAACAGAGGACGTTGTTGTAGATTTTGTCACCTTATTGTTCTCTAATTTGTAAAGATTGGGTTTTAGCCTTTAGGTGACCTAGTTTCCTCTCAGAAGCTTGCGCTTATATCATATTTTATCTTATTCTTGAGAACTCACAATAGTCTACCAATTCTTGTCTTTGTACTATAATATATATATAAAAGAGATCTTTGCTTATGTTGTGTCTTCGTTTTTACTTGTTGCCATCTCCGATTAGATGATCATGAGCAGATCCTCTCCATCGTTCATATTAATGTTTTTTTTTGTGGTAATTTACGAGAATTGGTATCTTATCATGTACATCTATGGTTTCCGAGCAAGATTTTTTGTCGATGAGAGACTTCTCGTTCCCGAAACTGTTGGTATGAACCATAATAAAATGTATAAAGTGTTATTGATGTTAAATATAATTCAAATCCCTTACAAATACAAATGATAAATACAAGACAAAAAGAAAACGTGACGTGTGGGAGACGCAATCCAATGCAATCAAGAACATCAAGAGTGGTTCCCAAATCCAAAATCAAGAAGAGTATTACACAGATTTATTGAAGTAATAGACCACTTACTTCAAGCAATTCCACAGTTGTAAGCCTTGCAGAGCTGGAGCAAAGCTGCTTTGTTAGTTTCTTCGAGATTCTCCCCAATGATCTGAGGGTATCTACCAGGAGAAGCAGAAGAAAGCCTGCCCAAAGAAGCAACCAGAAACTGCTTTGGGTCTCTAATGTCTTTGAGAGGGTCCTCCTCTCTTCTCCCAGCACTGTAAAGATTCACAAACGCAGCAGTGTATCCAACATTCTCTGGCATCTCATTAGGTTCATCAACATCTCTTTCCTGCTCAGGCCTTGAAACAAGCGTCACGATACTGTCAAGCGCCTTGCCCCAGAGTTTAGATACTGCTGGAGCTGGCGTCTCACATATGAGTCTCGTTGCAGCTACTGCGGTTAACTTGACCTCGACGGTTCCCATGATCAGTTTCAGGTTCGGAATCCAGATATGCTCCAAGATACTAGCGAAGATGTTCGGCTGAACAGTGTTCATGGTGTCGACAAGATAAACCGGTCCGTGCTTCACCAAGAAGAGGGACATGGATACTACTAGGAATTTCTGGAACTTGACCGTCTTTTTGCTTTGAAGTCGTTCGAACAGAACATTCCATATACCCTTCATGTACGGTGCAATCACACTGTAGTCAAGATACTCAATAATCGTGTTAAGGATATAAAAGCCTTGTTCCTCTGTGCTATGACCTGAAACAAGCTTGTGGAATATCCTCAGCACTTGACTCAACCGATCCTCCTGAGTGACCTCGTGAGGTGCCTTCTCCAGGAAGGCCTGAAGCAAACGCACAAGAGCTGGAACATTGGCGTTTCTCTCCCAGTACTCACCCGAGAGGAGCAGCGAGAAGAGCTGCATGTAGTTCGGTGAGAGAGGTGGTCTGTTCAGCTCAACAAGCTGAGCCAGCAGCTGAAACGCGTAAGGCAAGAACTCTGCGATATCATTGTCCAAAATCAGCTCGAGGCTTTGGAAGAGACTCGTTTCAAATGCAGATATAAGAGAAAGATCACGCTCACATGCCCGGCGAACAAGTACAGCCACAGACTCAAAGATATAGTGATTAAACGTAGGGTTTTTAGGGTTTTTGCAGACTTCACTGAGAACAGAGGTCAAGCCCACGATGCAAGGTCCAGCAACCTCACCAGTGATTTCAGCAACGCCAAGGACCCGCATGATACACTTCATAAGGTATTGGTTCTCCTCAGATTCTGGAAACGTCAGTGCCTCAAACAGGTTCGTCATCAGCTGCCGCAAAAACGGACTTATATCACTAGCGACGTACCTGCTCTTTCCACCTTCGTCCTTCACTAGCAAGAGTTTCTCTATGCAGCTAGCAGCGTATGAGTGGACTACGTTCGAATCTGCTCTAAGGAACCGGACCAGCTCCGGGAACAACTGAATCGCAAAGGGCTTTGGTAGGTGAGTACGAAACACTGTCAAGAACTTCAAGGACCCTGCCTTTAGCATCGGGAAACTGTTGACGTCGTGGCTTTGCAGCTCTGGGAGAATCACGTTCGCAAAGAAGCTTTGAACATCAATGAGATCTGTAGACACAGACGCACCTCGTGCCTTGTTAGTAGCCAGAGAGACGACCAAGTAAATAGCACAGTCCTTATCTTTCCACTGTGTTGCAAACGAACTCAAGAGCTTCTGTATCTCAAGGGAAACTACTTCCGTCACTTGTCTTTTGTAGTTTGTGGCAAGTCCCTTGAGTAGCTCACAAGCTATTCTCCTTCTAGTGTCCACGTCGCTTCCCTCCATGTCTCTACGGACGAACTCTGTGTAGTTCGTCTCGAAAATCTCTTCATCTTCATCCCTCAAAGAAACATTAGGAATCACTACGCCTTGGCAAATCTCCTTGATTACATTGTCGCCTGCAAACAAAGCATGGTGCGCACTCGTGCTCACGGTGGTCAGAAACTTGATCGCTGTGGTAGCTAGTCGATCCCTGCTCGGAGACTTGGACACGTCCCGGAGTAATGTCCAGACAGCTAATGCAAAACCCTCCAAAAATGGTTGGAACTCTTCTCCGTACTTCTCCATATACAGGTTGATATTCTCACAAACGGCAGCGCGAACATCATCAACAACTGTAAGCCCCTCTGCCGTGCTTTCCAAGGCAGGAAAGTTGGAGGATAAACACTTCTCAAACACTCCCATCCACTCGTTCATGTGATCCTCGAAAAACTCGGGCAAGTCCTGAAAGCTCAACGAGAAGAATATCCTGCAGCACAGCCTTTGGGACTCAAACAAGGGCTTGAGGTCGGCTGCACCAGAGCCCGAAGCAGCAGAATCATACGTTTTCAGGAACACTTCTTGCAACGAAGGAGCAAAAGTCTCCAGGCAGTACTTAATATCCGATAACAGATCATTGGTTCTATACTGATGCCTAAACTTTTTGAAAATCGAGTTAGCAGCCCCAAGAACAGCATTGACGGACGCATAGTCGCCTCTGAGAGCAGCTTTTTGAAGGCTGGAGACAAGCTCGGGAAGCAAACCAGGCCAAGATCTATGGAAATCGCGCTTACCGATGACGGCTAGGGCTTCACTCAACTGGCTCTGGATGCGTGGTGGGGAAGAAAGCATAAGGGAAACGATGCGTGTCTTGATCTGCTCCTTCTCCGAGTTAACCATCGGTGAGATACCAGAGTCGCCAGCAGGGAGCCATCGCGAACGGAGGTGGTTCTTAAAGTTGACAGCTGCAGCGTGGCGGGTCTGCTCGTTGACAGAGCGTTCGGCCACCAGATTTAGGACGGCTAAGCCGTAGTTAGGCAGATCGGCCGCCTCCGATAACGATCTCTCAGCAGCACGACGAGGCTCCGGCACCGGAGAGAGCGTGTGGAGAAAACATTGCGACAGTTTCTGTAGAGTCTCCGGATGACACTCCATATTTTAAAAAACTAGGGTTTATGAGAATTGGATATCAAACTGACTTGTAACACAAGCATTTATACACGAATGGGTCGGTTAAATGTCAAATAAACCATCCTAATCTCTTTAGGAATATATATACATAATCCCTAAAATTTACATATATCCGAAATATGGAAAATATCCGCAATAGAGAAACTAGTGCGATTACAAGAGACGGCGAGGAGAGAAGGGAGAAGCTTGTAACTTTTATGGGTTTTTCATCTTGAGAAGGTTTTGGGTCATTTGGGCCGACTGGATTTTAAATGGGTTTTATATTTTGTTTCGAGTGGGCTTATGTAGCTAGTTAATTAATGGAAAATGTACAATAATGTGAAATGATAGGGGAGACTAATGATTTCTAATTTCAAATACTAGACTAATGTCAATCTTTTAATTTATTTAACTTGTTAATTATAATAGTATGTATTTAAATATTACTGGCAAATATTTATCATTCCTGGTGGATTATATATCTAGTATTTTAAAACATAGGGTATATATGTTTAGATAAAAGCTCAAGGTGGTTAAATTAGGTTTAGTGGTTTAAACAGGAACCACCTCATATAGAGGGCGTGACTAAGATTCCAACAGGAATGAGCAAACATGGGTTGTTTAGTAGTTAAACAAATTTATTTAGTAGTTAAACAATTTTGTTTTTTATTTAGTAGTTAAACAATTTTATTTTTTATTTAGTAGTTAAACAATTTATTTTTAGAGATTTTTATATATGGTTGTTATGTGGCAATAGCACTTGATCAAAAGCAAATATAGTCGGCTTACACAAAAATTCTCATTAATTATGTTGTTTTGAGAAAAAATGTGTTATGAGGGATAGTTCACTAAAAAAACAATTAACCAAAAAAAAACATGTATGTGTGCATGCAGCCTTACAGAAAATATATCTGTTTACAGATAGATTTTTAGATCATTATTCATTAATTAATATACATAGATTTTCTTGACCACAATAAATAATAATTATTATGTGAAATTGGTATCGCAGGCTTCAAGCATGCTGCTACCTTAATGTCTCCATCACTTTCTGAATGCCAAATGAGTCATTTTGACTCCTATCATTAAATTGTTATTTTATTTGTCGGCATACAATTACCAATTTTTTGAAAAATATTATAAAGTAAACTTTAAAATTGGAAAACCCGTAACAAAAAAGTTGTGGAGAAAATAGAAAAAGAAGAATGAAAAAAACTGATGTGGCTGCTGGTGGCAGCAAATTGGCGGGGCCCACGTCCAGGTTACATTTGTTTGTCGTTTTCTTGCTTCCTAATGCAAAGCTGTAATCTTCTGTACCAAAGAGCACATTAGTTTCCTATGTCTACATATAATAATGAGCCACGTTTCTATATAGACACAAGTTGAAGTTGGTGTCGCATACAGCTCTTTATTATTTCAATTTAAATAAAAAAAAAGAAGCCGAAGTATCAAAAATATTTTAGAAAGAGAGAACAAAACAAAAAAGGCTGAAAGAAGAAGTTTCCGAGAAGAGATTATTCATATCAGAGAAAAGTTTAGAGTGGAGTTTTTGATTCTCTTGCTCGTCCGCTTCTTTCTGATTACCTTTCTGTGAAGATGATGGTAGTTAACAGTTTCGATCTATGGCAAAAAGATGTTTTCTTCTCCGCAGCTGAGGAAGTTCAGAAATCTGCAGATATGTATGTATCCGTATAGGTTTTTGTGATTCTCCTCAAAAAATTAATCACGGGTTTCAGCTAAAGATTTTTGATTTGGGATTTGGATTTGAGATGGAATTTGAAAAGTTTGCAATTGTGTTTTTATTTTACTATTGTTTTAAGCTTATGCAATTCTGATTTTATTCTATTTTGTGCGAAATGCAATTCTGATTATGGTCCTACTTCTTTTACAGAATGGAGTCTGCTTATAGATTGTGGATTAGAGAGAAGAAAGATGATGTTTTTAAGGAACTTCAAGCTGCTTTGGGTACAGCAAAATGGCAGGTATTGTTCTAAGTTTCTGCACAATGTTTCTTGAATCATCTCAGGTTTAGTGTGTGTGTTCTTGTGAAGTGTTTAAGAAAAGTTTTTGTCTTGAACAAATTTGAAACTATGATTCACTTGGAAGAGCTTGAGAATTTCTGCACAATGTTTCTTGAATCATCCCAAGTTTAGTGTGTGTGTGTGTGTGTTCTTGTAGAGTCTATAAGAAAAGTTTTGTGCTTTCTCTTTTCTTCAAGTTAATTGAGCATTTTCTTCTTGTTCTTGATTATTGCAAAATTTGAAACTGTGATTCAGTTGGAAGAGTTTGAGAAGGCAGTGAGATTAAGCCATATACGGTGTGGGGATGATTCAACATCGACACGCCACAAACAGTTCGTTGCAGCTATGGGAAACCAGATTCATCGCGTAGAGACCTCTCTGCAAGAGGCTTACAGTGAGAATGGCAAAGAACCTCTCCGTTGGGTTAATCTCAGTGCCGAGGAGCGAGACGACTTGGCCATGTTTCTCTCTGGATCCTCTGAAACCTCAAAGAGCTCTGAATGCGTCATAGACATCGAAGAGAGTGATAAACCGGGAAATGCAGATGCTAGGATACGCCAAGGAGGGACTAGAAGAACATGGAGCTCACCAAATTTCAATTCTTTAAGGATTGTAGTTCCTGGTGATGACGAAGAAGAAGAAGAACAGGAGAAGAAGACATCGGTGGCACAAGTCGCATCCACTCCCAAAGTAAAAGGAACTAAGTCTGTATTGTGGATGCAGAGACTTCCTGATCATAATCAAGTGAGTTCTCACAATCAGTTTGATCCTTTTAGATGCATTATAGGAAAGAGTGACTTACGATCTCTAGCGTTTTTGTTCTTTCAGCTCTTTGACAAGATGGGTTGCTTGAGAAATCCGATACGCATACCGTTTACTCACCCAATCAAGCTCACTGTTTCCTTAATGCTAATGGTGTTTCTTCTATGTGAGTCACTTCACTTGTGTTTCTCTGCTTATATAGATTTCGATTCTTGACGAGTGTTTAAGTTGCTAACGAGCATTAAACTGATGCAGTACCCTTCGTAGTGTATTCTTCTTGAGAATTCAAATTCCAGTCAAGGTTCGAAGCTGTCAAGAAGCTAAAAGAGATGAGCTTTCGCATCTAAATGGTTAGGATTTATCATCCCTGCAAGAACAGGTAGAGAGATTAAAAGGTTTCTCTTTTATTTGTTGTTTTGCATCTTCAGGGGTACATAGAGAAAATCAGAAACTTGTAAGATTGAGTAAAAGTTTACACTTTGGTCCTTGGCCATCGTTTATAAAGATGTAAATGCGATAATACGTTTCATATAGATTTCAATTGTGAGGTATATTACAATTTCTAATTATGTGGCTTCTCTGTTTTTTCTTTTCTTCTCTGTTTGAAGAAGAGGACGATTCGGAGGAACACATGGATCTTGCATCCACAAATGTTTCATGGATCTTGCTCTCTTCTTGGTTTACAGACTTACTTTGGGCAAATCTTTTCTGATTGCCAAACACGTTATCTTTTTTCAAGTTTTAGATTTCTTTCTTTGATTTTGTAGACGAACACTAAGCAGAGAACCATTAATCGTGTTGTAAACACTACTAGGCAGACTATAAATTTTTTTATATGTTCAATTAAAATTAATATACTATTGAAAGATGTTTTTATTTATATATGATTAATTATATATTAATAATAAAATAATAAATATTTGATAATAAAAAATAATAATATATTAATATAATATATTATATATTTCAATAAAAAATAAACGATAAAAAATATTAATTAAGATTTTAAAATATTTATTTGAATAAAAATGTAAACATGATAACTAAACAAACAGGATAACATTCAAATATATAATAATTTATTTAATTTTTATTTTAGTATAATTTTTTTATAGACATAATTAGCTGTAATATTTAAATATTGATTAATTTTTTATACATTATGTCAATGTTATGTTTTTATACATATATAATTTTAGTGTTCAAAAACAATCACACAAACGTTTCATATTGTTTTGTGTCTTTTGAAATTTTTTTTATTTTTTTAGCATTTACAATAACATATAATTTTGTAAATGTAAAAGTTATATTAAATAATAATTAAATTCTTATAATATGTTTTGAATATTATCGATGTAATACTTTATTTTTCTCTTTACATAATATAATCTTGCCAATATATATATTTTAAGTATACGTTTTTCTTTGATCAATTGCTAATAAACCAAAATACATTTTACCATATTTATTTATTCTAAGAGCAGATAGATGGTTGGTCCGCACATTCGTGCATACCAACCACCTCACTGCTCTTATATAAAGATTTAACAAAATATATAAATTGTCTAACAAGTAAAATTAAAATTAGACTGTAATCGAGGTTAACAAAATATATGCACGACAAGTTTGCATTTGAGTTTGAATTTTGCACAATTAATATTTATATCTACACGTATATTTGTAAAAAAAACTGAAGTATGACTTTTATGTGTTAAAAAAAAAAATATGTTTTGTAATATATATTTTTATAATGTATAGTTGATTTTTTTTTAAAAAAATTATGATAAATATATTTATGCATATAGGTATGAGTTAGAAATAAGTGAATTGTAATATTTTTGTGTTGGTAAGTTTTTTCGGGTATTTTCTGCAAACATTATAGTTTACACGATATAGTTATTAGCGCTTAACAACAATCACGAAAACCGTTTCTATCGTTTTGTATTTAATCAAAGTTTCTTATTTTTCAGCGCTTGATGATATATGGTTTTTAATAAAAAATTACTATAAAATTTGTGAAATCATATTTTATAAAATTCTCTGTTAGCTCTTCACTCATCTCCTCATCAAATATTTTATAATCCGCAATCGCTCGCTTCCACAAACTCTCTGTAACCGAATTGTTTAAACCACTCGGATCTAAACTTATATGTGTATAATTTAAAGTATAAAATAATATATTTATTATTTGATTGTTATTAAAAATTAAGAGTTGATCTGTTCCTAACTTTAATATATTTGTTAATGTAAAATATAATGGATCGTAACATATACAAAACTTGATTCATGATATAATGTTTTAATATGTTAAAAAAGTATATGCATTGAAGAATCAATATGTGTAAGATAATATTTTTAAATATTTCAAATAAAAACTTAAAATGGATCAAAATTCTTCTTATTTTTTTTCTTCTTTGACTCATACTTTTTTTTCTAACATTTAATAATATGTTAAACATTAAATTAATCTCTAATATATGTTTTTTTTGTTCCTTTAAAATATAAGGTGACTTCTCTCCAACATATATCTATTTTTACAGGAAAAAAAAGATTGTTATTTTTTCTTTCTTTTTTCTCTAAATTAAAATAAAAGTGGGTTGAAGATGCTTTACACCAAAAATATAACCTGAGATTTTTACATAAAAGCAAAGTCATAAGATTAATTTTTACTTTTAAATCTACTTTCTATTCATATACATTATACACTATTATAATAATAAAAAGCAAGCTAAAAGAATACTTATAATTTATTTATCTATCTGTTTATTTTTTTTTCATTTATAATTTCGAATTCTTGCTATATAACGAGAATTCATTCATATATGATATAAATTTTTCTTATTTAAAAATGAGATTTATTTAGTTTTAACTTAACCAATCAAAATATTTCGTTTATTTCAGGAAATTTGCCATGTCACATTTATGAGGTGACATTGTTTTGCACTAAGTTTTGTCAAAATGATGACACATCAGATTTTTTCATTAAACATGCTTCTCCAATAATAGTTAAGATTATATCATAGAATAGTATACTTAAATTGATATATTTGTTTAATTAATTAAATTAAGGAAATTAATCAATGTAGATGTTTTTTCCTAATAATAAAATAAATAATTGATCATCTAGATTTTAACTTTTTAGTATTTAGATGGTTTCTTCACTTCATGAAAATGTATCAAGTATTGTTGGAAATTTTTAGTAATAAAAAATGTAAATTAGTAATTATCTAAGATATTGAATAGCTATATATTTCTCCATTTCTATATGTAATACTAGATAATAACCCATACTCTGTGCATAATGAAATATTTATTATTTATTTAAATTTAGTATAATATTTATGTATATATTTAATTATTTTTGACTTTTATATAATAATTAAATATTATTATTTAAATATTTTGTTTTTATCTACTATATCGAATGAATTGAAAAAATGCATAATTTTTATATTTTTAATTTGAAAAAATAATTATATCCATAAATTATCTATTTGTAAAAGAAAAGAATAATTATTGACTCCAAAAACCATTAATCAAAAATTATTATCTAAAAGATAATAATAAAACATAATTGAATATATGATAAATAGTAAGTTGGGATTATAATGTATACATAATACAATGGAATATTAAATTTAAGATGTAATATGGTTAGAGTTTTGATGCGTTTTTTCTATGATTGATTATATAAAAAATAATGTGATAAAGAAAATATATTATAATTAGCTTCTATAAAAATATTGATGTTTATCCATTTTACTCCAAATAAGTTTTTAACATTGATGACTTATTAGACAAAAGTGTCACTATTGTTTCTACTCGAAATTTTTGAATATATATACATATATATATATATATATCTAAATTAACAAAATAAATTTGAATTTATATATTACTTATATCTAAATTAGATTAGTGAATGCGCCATAGATTAAATTTCTTATATTATAAACATGGATCAAACACAATAAATTTCATTTTCATTAAAATTATTAATAAATTCTCAACTAGCTTATAATTATATTATACTAATATTAAATACTATTTATAGTATACTAATGGAAAGAGTCAATTAAATGGAATTATTATTATTTACTTTTATTTATAATGACTATAATGAACTCAAATTACAACCAACTTTTATAATGATTATAATGAACTCAAATTATAATGATTTATGTTTATTTATTAATAATTTGAGTAATTTTTATTCAAATTTTAAAATCCAAATTATAATATATGTACAAAAAATCTATATATTTTTTATTATATGGATGATGTGATAATTTATTTACTTTAAAAAAGTAAGTTTAAATGAAAATAAGAAAAATAGATTTTTGGTAGAAAATGTAATTAAAGAAATAATTAATAAGATATATTTTTGGTAAGAAATAAAAGAAAAAGAATATCTTAATAAACTAAATGCTTATTTATAAAATGAAATATAACATATACAGTATATGAATCTAAAATATATAATGGCATATCATGTAATTAGTCTAGTAATCTAAGCTTTTTTAAAATAATTAATTGAAAATAAATGTGGGGTTGACACATCAGCATAATGACACCACTGTAAATACTTACAAAAATAAGGCTAATTTTTAAAAATGCTTCTCAAATAATATATGGTAGATATTTTTCCAAAACAGATCCACCATCTTTAGAAAACATTGTTGGTAGTAAATTTTAATATATTTTGTAGCCATATTTCTCCAATTGACAAACATTAGTAGTACTCGAAATTTCATTATATCCTTGTAAGATATCATTAGATCTTCTATATTTATGTTTGATTTAAACATATACTACATATTCATCAATATAAATACAGTAGTCATCTTTGCAAAATATATAGTTGTAAGAGAAAAGATTGTACATTCTTTTTTTTCCGGTGATTGAACATATATAATAAGATGTGGAATTTACTTCCAGAAGACGTGAAGATGGATTGCATAGCACGTGTACCGAGATGCTACTATCCAACTCTCTCCCTTGTTTCTAAATACTTTCGCTCACTTGTTGCATCGCCTGAGCTATATGCGAGGCGATCCCTCCTCGGCTGTGCTGAATATTGTTTCTACCTAGGGTTTTCTGACAGATCATCATCTTATATGAGCTGGTATACATTCCGCAGCACGGACAAATGTTTGGCCCGTATACAATCCATCCCTTGTGTGCCTATACATTCAATATGCGTTGTTGTCGGCTCGAATATATATATGATCGGTGGAGTTGACAACAGGAAAGCCACACCAGATGTGTCAGTCATAAGTTGTGTATCTCACAAGTGTGAAATTCTCCCTAGATTCCGAAGAAATGTTGCTGGTCGCTTGCCGATAGGATTCTTTGACCGAAAAATATACCTAATTGATTACTATGATGATCATGATCCTAGAATCATGGTGTTTGACACGGAATCGCGCACATGGGGACTTGGTGGAAGGTCAAAAGTGGAGGCAGAAGATCGTGTGGTTGGTTGTGTGGGGATGTCCGGTAAGATTTATATGACTACTACTAAGAACGGCTACATTTGCCACCTAAATGAAGGAGAAGGAGGTGCATGGGAGACAGACGAGATCATGAATTCTGAGCAGTGGATTGATCCATGCATCTTGGATGACATGTTATATTCTTATGATGAATATAAGAACAGTTTATGCGGGTTTGATCTAAAGTTGAGATGTTGGAAAAAAGTTAAGGGTTTAAAAGGATTACCTCAAAACTGTTTTTGTACACGCATAACATGTTGCGGTAGCAAATTAGTTGTTTTCTTTCAGACAGAGTTTGATTTGTCGTCAGGAAAAACAGAAATCTGGTGCGCGGAGATTGCCGTGGAAAAGCATGCCGGAGAGCTTTTGGGGAATGTTGAACGGTGTGATATGGTGCTTGTGCATCGTTTTGATCTTATCGAATGTTTAGCTGTTAAAATCTGAATGTTTTTTTAATAAAACGTATACTACTACTTCTCTTGTGTCGTACATTAGTCAGTGTTTCAAAATATTTATTACGCATGGAAAATGAAAAATCAATAGAGCATTTATATAATTAATGGGTTTGGTTCGTTTGTAACCTAAACTATCTTGTCTTTACTTATATCTTTGGATATGTGATAAGTATAATATTTATGTGATGATGAGTTGAATTATTATAGCTCAAGACTCGTTTTTTTATTTCTTGTTGTCCTTGTGATAAAATTGGATTTTCAGATTACTTTATTGTCATTTTGATTATTTGGTTTTCCAACTAATCAGTTTATGAGCAAATTTCAATTCAATATCGGGTTAAACATAGATCAAGAAGACGGTTTTTTTACCCAGGCCCACCACACTTAGTAAGTTTAAGCCATAATGAAGTGACCGAACAAAGAGAGTGCTTTCTTTAACCCAAATTAAAAAAAAAAAAAGGAGTGCACTTCGAATTTATTGAATCAATGTGAACATTGTGTTAGATTTCTCCGTTTCGAATCATGCAAACGTTGTCGAAGGATATGGGATTCTAAAACACATGAAAAATTTAAGGATTTATATATCATTTGCCGAGAAAGAGAGTGTTTCCTTTAACCAATTTTTTTTTTTTAAAAAGGAGAGTGCTTCGAATATATTGAATCAATGTGAATATTGTAAGGGGTGGTCGAGTTTTGCGTTCGAATCATGCAAACGTCGTCGAAGAATATGGGATATTAAGGATTTGTATATCATTATTTGTTTTTTTTTTATCTTTTTTTCATCGTCTTTTTCGTCACAGGACATCATTACACCTCAACAAGCTTGTATAATAAAAATAGCTTTACTATTCATAGATAGCTTTAAGACATGAAGATACCTTAATCATAAGACACAGTCTCTCGGCGTCTGGGTGAGCCAACTGTCCTGCTCTTCAATTGGTCAGGACTAGTATCTTGGATGTTGGACCCATCTCCGCATATGCCTCTCATCCTCAAGCTGCTTGCTGCCTAAGCCATCATCTTCTCCATCTGGAAGGAGAGAAATTCGCGGCTGCATGAGAGTACCTCTCACACGGTGGACCATGTTTACAGGCAAATTGACAGATCAATCTGGGATTCAATCTTGGCGCAAAACAGAACCAGGAACTCAGATCTTCTATCTTCCTGGTTTGCTTATGAATGAAGATTCAGTTCTTTTTGTTTTCCTGCTCCTCACTAGCGGATACTATGTAATAGGTTGGACTTTTTTCTTTTTTTTGAGCTCATCTATTTCACTCTAGTCACCAAACTCTTGTAAACGGAACGTTCATTTGGTAAATATATTCACATTTTATCAAAAAAATATATATATATTTCTCACGTGTACAACAATTTCGCGACTTTTTGGGGTTGGTTGACATAATTTACAACAATAAATTTCTTTTGAATTGACCAACTTATTTCTCAACAATTGACATATTTTGGGTTAGTATACTTATTTTACAGGAGTCGGCGTATTTAACAACAATCAATTTATATTACAAGTTTACAACAATTGATTTGTCAACTTATTTTACAGCAGTCGACTCATTTTGGATTGGTCGACTTACTTTACAACATATGACTTATATTTTGGATTAGTTGATTTGTTTTACAACAATCAACTCTTTTGACAGCAGTCGACTTATATTACATCAGTCTATTTATTTTTGGGTCGGTTAGCTTATTTTAAAACAGTTGACTTATTTTAGATTAGTTGTATTGTTCATTTGTCCATTCAGATGATTCATCTAGGTGGAAACTGAATTTTTGTTCATTTTGTAACAAATTTTGAGCAACATGCAAATGAAGCATCAAATGAATTTTTAAAAATTAGGAAAGAAAATTAAACTCATCTAGATGAACCAAATTGGATCATTTCGATGGAGATGGTGCATTCTAAAATAACAAATGATTAAACTACCTTTATTTAGACAAAGCATTTCAATTCCATATGCACAAATATACATGATATAAATTATACTTTTTAATCATCTAGAAAAATTAAATCATGTTTTCCTTCCAAAACCTTGAAATCACATTTTTATACCAAAACTGTAAAATAGCGCTTTCTACCAAAACCGCGAATTCATGTGTTTTTGCCAAATATATGGAATCACATTTTTCTGCCAAAATCGTGAAATAACGTTTTCCCGCCAAAACTATGAAATTAGATTTTTCAGTTAAAATTAAAAACCATTGTTTTTATTTAAACACACAAAATCTCGTTTTCTTGCCAAAGCCGCAAAAATGTGTTTTTCCACCAAAACTATGAAATCACATTTTCTTGCCAAAATTGCAGAACTACATTTTCCGCCAAAGACGTATAATCATATTTTCCTTCCCAAAACTGTAAAATTACATTTTCATGCTAAAATCGAAAATCATGTTTTTGTTTAAACCGTAAAATTACTTATTTCTAGCAAAACTGCAAAATCGCGTTTTCTTGCTAAAACAAAAATTATGTTCTCTCGTCAAAATTACAAAATCGGAGTTTCCCGTTGAAACCGCAAAATCATGTTTTTCACCAAAAACGTGAAATTGTGTTTTTCTTCAAAAATAAAATTAATTTTTTTCACCAAAACTGTGAAATTCTGTTTTTCGTCAAAAACGAAAACTCTCATTTTTCCATCAAAAATATTTGATTAATAGATATATTTTACATAAAATAAAATTTAAAAGTAAAATAGTTAAAATTATGACTACAAATAAGATTATATGAATATATACTTTTGGTCATTTTTATTAAAATGATCTAAATGAAAGTGTAAATTTACGGCCAACAAAAGTTACATTCAGATGTATTATCCAAATGAACAACCAAAAATAAAACGAAAAACATGGATATGCAACATTTTGATAGAGCACTTAAATGGAAATGATAGATGAAGAAACAAGACAGGCCCTCAATGTATTTTACAAAAGTGCGATTTATTTTGGGCCGATCAATTTATTTTATAACATTCGACTTATATTTTGGGTTAGGCGATTTATTTTACAACAACGAACTAATTTGAAAAGAGACATTTTATATTATACTAATTCGCTTATATTTTGGATTGGTCAATTAATTTTACAACAATCGATTTTTTAGGTTGGTCGACTTATTTTACAACAGTCGGCTTATTTTGAGTTGGTCGACTTATTTTACAACAATCGACTTATTTTGGGTTGGTCGACTTATTTTACAACAGTCAACCTATTTTTCACTAATAGACTTATTTGATAGGAATTGACTTATATTACAACGGTCTACTTATTTTGGATTGATTGACATATTTTTAAAACAGTTCGACTTATATTTTGGATTGGTCAAGTATTTTACAACACTTGACTTTTTTTTGTTTGATCGACTTAATTTACAACAGCAGACTTATATTTTTGTTGAGTAGACATTTATTATAATAATCGATTTATACTACAACAGTCAACTTAATTTGGGCTGGTCGGCTTATTTTACAAGAATCGACTTATTTTTCATCAATCGACCTATTTAACAGCAATTGACTTATATTACAACGATCTATTTATCTTCGATTGGTCGGCTTATTTTACAACAGTTGACTTATATTTTGGGTTGGTCAAGTTATTTTATAAAATTTATCTTTTTGGATTGGTCGACTTAAATTATAATAATCAACTTATATTTTGGATTAATTGACTTGTTTAAAAATAACCAACTTCTTTGACAACAGTCGATCTTAAATTACAAGAGTCGATTTATATTTTGGGATTATTACTTTATTTTAGATTGGTCGACTTATTTTCTTCGTAGAAGAGGACAATTCAACACATGGATCTTGCTATCTTCAAATCATTCCCAGCTCTCACATATATGTACAAGGTTTATCTTCCCATTAATGTTTCATGGATCTTGCTATCTTCTTGGTTTATAGACTCACTTTGGACAAATCTTTTCTGATTGCCAAACACGTTATTTTTTCAAAAGTTTTAGATTTCTTTTATAATGACATTTGTTTTCTTTGCTTTTGTAGACGAATATGAAATAAACAGAGAACCATTAATCGGGTGGTAAAACACTATTATGCCATAGAATAGTATACTTAAGTGATTGATTGATATGTTTGTATAATCATATATATAATTTGCCAAATCTCTCTCCATCTAGAGTGTCCACCTCAGCAATTTTTAATTTTTAAAATGAGTTTCTAAATATTTTGGATTTTGTTTTTCAGTTTTTATCTTTTGGGTATTTATTTTTGGGCTTTTAACATGATTAATTTAAAATGAAAAATAAATACTTATTTTACAAGTCATAAAAATTACAAATTCTCTATTTGTGAAAAAGAATTTGGAACACAAACATATACAAAAGATGATGCAATAAAATCTTAAACAGATTTATGTATAAAACTAAAGTAAAATCATTCATAAAAAATAAATGTTTATTTTAAAAACCATAAAAACATAATTTTTTTATGAAATAAAAAATTCAAAATTTTATATTGAATATAAATAAATAGAATGTGAAAAAGAGTTATTTTTAATATAAATAAATAGAATGTGAAAAAGTGTTGCAAAGTAAACAATTACAAAAGATGACATAAGAACTTGCAAAGAATCGTTATCAAACTTTTAAAAAAAAATCTCAGAAAGATTAATGCATAAAATAAAGTAAAATCATTCATATCTACTTTACTGTGTAAAAGAATAAAAAACATTCATGAATAAAAAAATTAAAATATTTAATTATGTAGTATAAAAATAAGTTTGATTTTTAAAAGGAAAAAAATGACAAATACTTATCAACTATTATTTTCTCAACAATGGCAATGTAGAGTTGGTATTTGATGAGTTTAGTCATCAGCTCGATAATTTATGAATTATAATATGAAGTATATAAATAAACTTAAACAAGGTTATTGTTTATATTTTTAAACAGAGTCAAGTTGTTTACCTCCATATGACATGAAAATAGACAAAAATATTTTCACACACGAATGCAAATATAGTCAAATAGTTCATCATCATCAGATGGATGAACACATCAGAATTGCTTTTCAAAAAGACAAATGCCTCAATCAATTAAAATTAACAGTTTATCAAGTAAGCATAATTATTTTATATAAAAGCATATCAAACCTATGTAACATATGAACAGATCTGTTGATCTGTCTCGCCAACTCTAACTACAATTCCCCTCATTTATAGTTACAACCAATCACAGAATTGAATAAGACAGAAATTTGCATGAAATAAGATAAAATATCAGTGATTGTAATCAGAATAATAGGACTAGGAGCAATAGAAAAGAGAGAAAAAAATGAATGATTATTTGTGCCTTAAAATGAGCAAGATATTTTAAAAATCCGATAAAAAATTAAGAAAACTTTTAATTTAGAATGAGGATGGGTCGATAATGATTTCACTTTGTTGATATGTGAAAATAAACTGTAAATAAAATCAGAAACTAATTAGATATAGTTAAACAATTATAACACATATAATATTTATCGTAGTATATAAAGAGCAAATTTTCTAACAATTAATATAATACATTATAATTTATACTAGAAAAAGAAATTTATAATATAAACATATATATATTAGGACAAAAAATATAAAAATATTTAAAAAGGCAAATACAACACATTATAATATACAATAAACATCTTTACTATAAAAGATGGCCAATTCTCTCTAGTTGAGTGCCACTTCATCATTTTGGTTTAATAAAAATTTAATGATATAATATAAAATACAGTTAATGCATAAATTAATGTATTACTAATCATAATACTAAAAGAATATGAAAAATGTGAAGTATTAGATAATATATTTTAACAACATTATATATTTAATATACAAAAAAAATTATTAAATACATATTTTTAGTAGTTTTTAAAATCATTGAAACAATTTATGTTTCTTATTTAATAGTGTTTTCTTATTTCCTATTAATATCATAAGTGATTACTATAAAATAAATATAAAAATAATATTTATTTGATATTTTGAACTTAAAAATTTAGAAGAAAAATTTATACAATATTATAATAAACTTTTAAGCAATTTCTTTATATACTAATAATTGTTTGATAATTTATTTTATTCAAACTTGATCTATTAATAATTTTTAAATTATTAAGATATCAAAGTCCTAATATATTTATTTATACAATGTTTCATGAAGTTGTATAAATTAGAATTATAAATAAATTATTTAAGTTAATAAAAATATAATATATGTAATATATAAAATATAAAATCGGTTTAACATCAATTTTTTACAAAACAAAAACATGCGCGTATGCACGGATACTTTCCTAGTTAATTAAATTAAGGAAATTAATTCATCTATATATTTGCCCAAAATAAACAAATGATACTTTTCTAGTCAAAAATAAAAATTAAATTATTAGTGATCTTAGATTGGATAGTTATATATATTTCTCCACTTCAAGAAAAAGTATCAAGTACCCCCTATAACTACTAACAATATATGTAATATATTTTTGCAAAGTAGATCAACCATCTTTAGAAAACAGTATTGGTAGTAAATTTCAATATATTTTGCAGCCATATTTCTCCAGTTGACAAATATTAATAATATTAGTAGTACCCAAAATTTCATTCTATCCTTGTAAAATGTCATTACATCTTGTATATTTATGTTTGATTTAAACACATACTACATATTTATCAATATAAATACAATAGTCATCTTTACAAAATATATAGTAGTAAAAGTAAAGATATTGCACATTCTTTTTTTTTCGGTGATTGAACATATACAATAAGATGTGGAATTTACTTCCCGAAGACGTGAAGATGGATTGCATAGCACGTGTACCGAGATGCTACTATACAACTCTCTCCCTTGTTTCCAAATACTTTCGCTCACTTATTGCATCGCCTGAGCTATATGCGAGGCGATCCCTCCTCGGCCGTGCCGAATATTGTTTCTACCTAGGGTTTTCTGACACATCATCATCTTATATGAGCTGGTATACATTCCGCAGCACGGACAAATGTTTGGCCCGTATACAATCCATCCCTTGTGTGCCTATACATTCAATATGCGTTGTTGTCGGCTCGAATATATATATGATCGGTGGACTTTACAACAGGAAAGGCACACCAGATGTATCAGTCATAAGTTGTGTATCTCACAAGTGTGAAATTCTCCCTAGATTCCGAAGAAATGTTGCTGGTCGCTTGCCGATAGGATTCTTTGACCGAAAAATATACCTAATTGATTACTATGATGATCATGATCCTAGAATCATGGTGTTTGACACGGAATCGCGCACATGGGGACTTGGTGGAAGGTCAAAAGTGGAGGCAGAAGATCGTGTGGTTGGTTGTGTGGGGATGTCCGGTAAGATTTATATGACTACTACTAAGAACGGCTACATTTGCCACCTAAATGAAGGAGAAGGAGGTGCATGGGAGACAGACGAGATCATGAATTCTGAGCAGTGGATTGATCCATGCATCTTGGATGACATGTTATATTCTTATGATGAATATAAGAACAGTTTATGCGGGTTTGATCTAAAGTTGAGATGTTGGAAAAAAGTTAAGGGTTTGAAAGGATTACCTCAGAACTGCTTCTGTACACGCATAACATGTTGCGATAGCAAATTAGTTATTTTCTTTCAGACAGAGTTTGACTTGTCGTCAGGAAAAACAGAAATTTGGTGTGCGGAGATTGCCGTGGAAAACCATGGCGGAGAGCTTTTGGGGAATGTTGAACGGTGTGATATTGTGCTTGTGCATTATAGTGATCTTATCGAATGTTTAGCTGTTAAAATCTGATGTTGTGTTTGTGTATACGTCTCTTGGAGCATTAGTCAGTGTTTCAAAATATGTTGGTTTATTATGCATGAAAAAAGAAAAATCAATAGAATAATATAATTAATGGGTTTGTAATTTAAACTACCTTGTACTTATATATTTGGATGGGATAAGTTATTTAAATGATATGTGTGTGATGATGGGTGGTATTATATAACTCAAGACTCTTTTTTGATTTGTTTTGTTTTGGTTATTGTGATAAAATTGGATTTTCAGATTATTCTTTTGTCATTTTGATTAGTTGGTTTTCCAACTATTCAGTTTACCACGCTAGTAAGTTTAAGCAATAATTAAGCTCACCGAACATTGTTTAGGCAACCATTTTCGTTTACATTCATACTTTTAGGTTTTGTGCTTTGTACGTTTGGGGAGAAGAATCTCTACATCTTTTAAGAAAATTTCTGAACTCCTTTGGATTTCTTATTTATTGATTATGAATTTCTTTTCCTCTCTTTATTGTTTCTCTGCTTTCGTGTCTGAGTATTTTTATAGTTAGGTTTAGAGTTTTCAAAAGATTCATGAATCAATGAACTAGATATAAATAGGGTTATTCATCTGCCGTCTTCACCTATTGTTGTTCTCATTGTTTAGATTAACTTGATCACTTAATCTCTGATTTATGGTTTAATCTATTCGTGAAAGTGTTTTTGATTGCTTAATAGAACATAGGTGAGCAGATTGTCCTTAGCCAACAAAAGCTGATATTTAAGGCAATCTGTGAACAAATCGAACATGTTCATTAATGCTTGTTTAGAATTTTAAGTTCAAACGAAAGTTTAGATACTTAGGTTGCTAGACAAAGTCTTTGATGCCACGAAAGTAGATTAATTATACATCTATGTTTGAGTTCTAGATTGTTCTATAATCTGTCCTGAATAATTGTCTGTTTCTTGATCTCTGAATTCCTGCAAAATACCTAGACCTAGCGCTTTCTTTTACTGTCTTTAAACCGCTTTTATTTGCTATTTTGGTTTTACATTACATTCAACATCCCATATTTTTGTTTTAGCTTAGTTTCTTTCATTAAGATTTGCAGTGTGACATTTGGTCCTTGTGGATTCGATCCCTATTTTACTACATCATTTGCCGTGCATTTGTAGTAGTTCTATAGGGTTAAAACTATGTGTATCAGATTAAGTTAATAAATAAAGGGTAAACAAAATACATAAAACCAGATACAAAAATAAATAGTTTTTCTAGAGTTAGTTTTAAAAATATAGAAGGGCGAAGAGAGAACTATGGAAATGTTGGTTTCATATTTTGCAATAGTTTTTGTGTGAAAATATTTAACAATTTGCAATATATTTTAGTACAGAAAAGATTCCACACGTGTTCCCGTTTTTGGTAATCTATAGATCAATCTTCAATTTCTTAAGGTTTGTAGGTAGATGAGTCAAAATAAGTGGAGTCGAAAAAGAGAAAATTGAAAAAACTGGATGCAGTTCGAAGAAGGTACCTTTAATTTGTTCGTAAAAGACATTAGTTAAGTGATATTTCAAATTGACGTTGGATGTCATATTGTCATGTTAGTTTCCAGAGTTAAACTGATCAGAGCCGTTAGAACCGTTAGATTGAAAAATTATACACTAATATTTTTTTGTGTGTGTGGCTAAACATATACATACACCAATATTTACCTAGACAACATATAAATCCTTAGCTATCAAGTGTACATGATAGAGAGTCATAGGAGGCGAGTCGAGTACGCGGAAAACCTTTTACAGAATAAACAAACTGTCAAAATTTCGTTTAGCATTTACTTAACTAATAGTATTAGACATTAGTTATTAATATCATCAATTTATAAGAAATTAATAATATTCTGAGATGCGTCAATTTATAAGAAACAAGGGATTAATAATTCAAACAAGCATATATCAAATTGGGGAAGTTAATTAAGGAGGAACAAGTGCAAGGTGTATTTTGGGACTGCGAGCAGGTGAATGGGTAAGAAAGTGGAGTTGAAAAAAGAGAAGATGCATGAAACTAACATATACGAAACGCAAAACGCAAAACGCAAATGCCTAACGAAGACTAAACTCACGTCCATATATATAAATACGTGAATAGGTGAAGACATTGAAAGGCAGAAACAATTCAAAACAAAACATTTAACTTTATTTTAGCTGAAAGTACAATTATAATTTGGTCCAAAAAAAGTACAATTATAAATAATTTTTATTACACAAGCTTGTTGAGGTGTAATGTCATGTGTGACGAAAAAGACGACCAAAAGATCCAAAAAAAAGTAATGATATACAAATCCTTAAAACAATTTATGTGTTTTAAAATCCCATATCATTCGACAATGTTTACATGATTCGAACCAGAGAAATCTAACACAATGTTCACATTGATTCAATAAATTCAAAGTATAAACTCCTGTTTTTTTAAAAAAGTTTTGGTTAAAGAAAGCACTCTTTTTATTCGGTTACTTAATTATGGCTTAAGCTTACTAAGTGTGGTGGGCCTGGGTAAGAAACCCGTCTTGTTGATCTATGTTTAACCCGAAAGTGAATTGAAATTTGTTCATAAACTGATTAGTTGGCAAACCAAATCATAAAAATGACAACAAAAAAAAAGGCGAAAATCCAATTTTATCACAATGACAACAAGAAAGGAAAAAAAGAGTCTAGATGACACGATCTCCCTGGAACTGCTCTGAAGTTAGACTGATGAAGATCAAATGATGATTGCGAATGGAGATGATGATTGTGTGAGAAGGAAAGTGATAGTGTAGAATGAGATTCGAATGGTATTATGGTATAATGGACGATTTGAAATGATAAGATGGGAATGAAAGATAGTAGAGTTTCAGGGACACTTGGTGAATAGAAACTCGGATCAACAAGAACACATTCAAGAGATCAAAGGGTGAGAGAAGAAATGCAGCAATGGCTGTTTGTTTTCACTTAGTTCTTCGCTGCTTTACAACTGGAGGCGTAATACAAGACTTATACTACCCTAAACCAAACAACAAGGCGTCTAAGAAAGAAAACAACAAGACGTCCAAAATAAAGAGAAAAACAACAAGGCGTCCCATTCCTTAGAATCCTAATTGGTGCGCCTAAAATTACTAAGTATAAACCATAGTAGCTCATACACTTATTACCCATTGGCAATGACTCCTAAGTAACTTGACATAGTGATTCATCTGCCTCATTAAAAACCATGTTGAGAAAACCCAGTGGGACAAAACTCAATCATGGGAAAAAGAGTACAGACTCCTCACCTAAGTTACTTAGTCATCATTACCGGGTGGAGTCTTCTGGTTGAAGATGTTGAAAACTTGAATAGCTGGTAAGTTGCACAGTCCTTCTGCTATAAGTGCATGAACCTCCTTAGCCAGCTCCTTAGCTCTGGAACGAGTGATCCTCCCTACTATCTCTGGTTCCTTCTCTGGTTCACTAGCTGCTGTGCTATCCACTATCATATCATCCTCTCCCTCTTGAAAAGGATTTGTCCTCAAATCTGTATCTGCAACATAAGGAAGCAAGTCAGAAACATTGAATGATGGAGATATATTATACTTACCTTGAAGATCAATCTGGTAGGCATTGTTATTGATCCTTTTGATGACTTCAAATGGTCCATCCATCCTTGGCATAAGCTTGCTCTTCCTCTCTTCTGGAAATCGATCTTTCCTCAAATGAATCCACACCAAGTCTCCTTCCTCAAAGATTAACTCCTTTCGACCCTTGTTTGCATGCTTCTCATACTGCTTTGTTTTCTTCTCTATATTCTCCTTGGCCTTGGCGTGTATCTTCCTCACCTGTTCTGCCTTTTCTTTACCATCTAAACTACATTTCACACTTAGAGGCAAAGGGATCAAATCTAGAGGTGATTGTGGGTTAAAGCCATAAACAATTTCAAAAGGAGAAAAGAGAGTAGCAGAATGCTTAGCGTGATTGTAAGCAAACTCCACGTGTGGTAGACACTCCTCCCATGACTTGATGTTACTCTTGACCAACGTTCTAAGAAGTGTTGACAATGTTCTGTTCACCACCTCGGTTTGTCCATCAGTTTGAGGGTGACAAGTAGTGGAGAATTGAAGCTTGGTTCCCAACTTAGCCCACAATGTTCTCCAGAAATACCCTAGAAACTTGGTATCCCTGTCTGAAACTATCACTTGAGGCATGCCATGTAAACGAACCACTTCCCTGAAAAACAAGTTAGCTACACAGACAGCATCATCTGTCTTATGACTAGCAATGAAGTGTGCCATCTTACTGAATCTGTCAACAACTACAAAAATCGAATCTCTACCATTTCTGGTTCGAGGTAAGCCAAGCACAAAGTCCATAGAAATATGAGTCCACGGTTGAGAGGGAATAGGCAGAGGAGTATACAAACCGTGAGGTTGCACCTTACTCTTTGCCATTTTACAAACCGCACACCTAGAACAAATCCTCTCAACGTCTGTCTTCATATATGGCCAATAAAAGTGATCTTGCAGTCCAAGTAAAGTCTTAGTGACTCCAAAATGTCCAGCTAATCCACCTCCATGAGCTTCCCTGACCAATAACTCTCTGACAGATCCTCTTGGTATGCACAAACGATTGTTATAGAACAGATATCCATCCTGTCTATGATACTTTTCAAAAGCAAACTTATAGCACTTGCCATAGCTCTCAGCAAAATCAATGTCAGTCTCATAAAGATCTACTATATGTTCGAATCCATTAAGC